CAAAGTAATGGCAAAATATGTAAGATGCAAAAAAAACAACGAATATGTGTGGGGGCAATGGGTCGCACGTGGGAAAATGTGAGGATGGCATGAAGTGCGGTAGATAAACAGCAACACACGCGTTTTCTTTTTGTCGCAAGGGTGGGTTTGCTGAGAGGAGAGTGTGCTGGAAGGGAAGAAAAAAGGTGGAACGCATGGTGCCCGGCGCCCGGCTTGTTCATTTCTTGGCGCCGTCTTTTTCTGTCGATTCTTGCAAAGAAGAAGGATAGATAGAAATCGTCAAGTTTGCGTCACGGCAGCAGCAATTCAGGTGCCTTTATTTTTTCCCTTTCCTCCTCGGTTTCTTAGGGTTTTTATTGGCAACCAATTTCGCTTTGACCCAGCGAAAAAAAGAAGAAACGTAAAATAAAATAAGTAATTCAGGTGGAGTGGTTGAAAGAGTCTTCTGGGCGGAGGCCTTTGGGTCGCTCACGAGCCGGCAAGCTCGGAATTGGACTTTGACGATCCTGGAGGAAAAGGAAGCGAGGGTTGTGGAGACAAAGAAAGGAAATGAGAGCCTCGTCGGTAGCTTTCCAAAGAAGTTCTGCCGACTCCGCTCGCAGCATGCGCAAGGTGACAACACTTTGGAATTTGATTCTAGTCCTTGGTAATTTTGTTCTACCCCTGATTGTGTGATACATGTTTTCCAACATTTATTTCTGAATTAATCTTATCTATCAAGGTAGGTGGCCTCGGTATATACTAGTGAAATTTATCCCAAAACACAAATCGTAATTATTGGGTTAGTGTTTAGTGGGTGTTTCAATGTTATTAATTCTTATCCGCCATTCGCTAGTCATGCCAGAAACGGGATTGATAATTTGCCTCTCCATCCATTTGCACTTCTGCTCGTGGAAGTGCCGGTCAAAACAAACGATCACCAATTTGATCGTAATTCAGATATATGTTTTTTTGGGTTGGGTACTTGGGTAAAATATAAAACGAAATATTGTTACGCGACGGATTTCGGGTTGCGATGGATTTGGGCCCCCGAACCAAAAAATCGGCATTTTTTTGGGGGGGTGCCTATATCTCAAAATGAACAGCCCTGAATCCATTGCGGGAAAAAAAAAGTAAAATATAGTAATAAAAGGCTGTTTCCTAAGTCCACATGCGAATTTATGCACCCTGACATCGGCAATTTTTTCCCGAAATCCCAGGGCAAGTCTAGGCGCAGAAATCTGAATCTTGACTTAGGCAATACCTCACCAAGCACCCAGGATATCGTCATTTTTTTTTGGCCTAAACCAAGGATATTACATTTATGGATATATGATGTAGACGTAGAAATAACATGAAATAACGGGGAAATTGAGTACTTGAATAAAAAAATGGAAATCCGGGATAATATTGGTGGTTTTATACCAAAGGTATATGGGGGCACCACCTTAGAAGAAACATGAGCGTGGTTAAAACAATTAAACAGGGTACTATAAAGGGATGATACCCATTCCATTTTAATCCAGCAATTGGTCGGGTACCCTATAAGGGAAATGGTAATGGACCCCTGTTTTTCCAAAGAACATGATTAAAAAAAATAATCGTAATCGATACTGGGATGATACCAATTTAATCAACCAATTTGTTGCCTCAGAGTGAAAATAATAATGCACATATGATTATCCGTGAGCATGGTAGAAAACAAATAGATACATTATGGTAGGATGATACCCATTTAATCAACCAATTGGTTACCTCATGGGGGAAATAAAAAGGTACCTAAAATACAATTCAATTCCACCATGCATATAATATTTGGAAAGACACCAGAATCCATCTCCAGAGACCCCAGATCAATTGCAAAACCTTATCCTCTCGAACATTCTCGTTATTGGATTTAAGGCGAAAAAATGTCATTTTGTCATTCGGTTTTGTCATCAAACATATTTCATTTGTATTTTTTTGTTGTTGTCAATGTACCAAAATTATTACCCAACAATTTAGATTTTTCTCAAAGAAAACGAAAAATAGCACGACCTTAGAATTTGTCATATTTTCGAGTTTGTTTTTAGGTCATCCAATTGCGTCATTTTTTCCAAACAAGTGTTGTTTTCATTAAGCTTTCATTGAGTCGAAAAAGTAATTTAACATAATTTAACAATATTTGACAAAAGGGTCTGCTGGTTCGGACGGCAACATTGGAACTCGATGCATTCAATATACATTCTGATATTGAAATCTTTTTAGGCTCAGACTATGAATATTATCCATGGACTTTTGAAACCCGTCCAATTTGTGAGGGGCTATACTGTTACCCATCTAGTTTTGAATCCATCCAGTTTGCAGGGCTATAGTTGGGCATTATCCATCCCCATTTTGAATCCATCCAACTTGTAATGGTCACTGATTAGTCCTCTTCAGACCCCGTACAGAATGGTCGGGACTGGAGAGTAGCAAAACCCCAAAACCGATATAAAACATCGGGCCAGGGTGGGGTACCCTTACAATATGGATTCGCCCAAGGTCAAAATTTTGCACAAAATGGAAGCCAAAAACTATTCTGTACCGGCCTTGAGGCATCGCATTCTGTAACAAAAACTTCAACGGGGATCTTACATTAAAGACACCGTTTAAACAACGTTGCGGCCGGCGTCTTCGAGATCTTCGGTCGTCTGCGGCGTCTTCGTCTCGAATTCAAACACTTTTTGAATCATCAATGCCACCCTACCCCGACCCCAGGGTCAACGTAGCATCCGGTAGAATGTGCAAGTCCTGACAGCGCAGCATCCCTAGCATTTGCCGTGCAAGTTGTTGGCTGACTAGCAAATTGATCGCTGGCTGTTGGGTGGCTCGCGCGAATTTGTTGGCCGACTCGCAAGTTTGTGTTGGCTCATGAGTTTCAAGCTGTTGGAACGAAGATGCGCGTTTGAGACTCCTCCGAACAGAAATGGTTTTTGTTTGAACAGCTCCAACAATGCCACTTGACCGATCTTTCGGCAAAAACCTGAACATGCAAGGTGCCTGTAAACATGCGAGTTAGAGAGTCAATGCCCCGCTATTTGTAGACTTGGCCTTTGGTTCCATATGTTGCATCAAGCCAGCCATACCCCAAATGAATGGGTTTGGCATTTCATTAATTACATTCACATGTTGCCTTTCGCAAACCCTTGCGTGATCTTGCGTGAACGCAATCCCCGCTGTCACGCAGCCAATGTTACAATGTTTGCAAGATTTGCTTTTGCCGAACTTCCGCTGTATATAGCTAGAGGAAGTTTACTCCATCCAAAAAAACTAATGATCGAATTTCGCGAAGCTTTCGCGACAGTGTCTGTCAATCTAACCTTCGAGAAGATTTCTGCGCTTTTGCCAGCAGGGCTTTAGCTTTTGAGAGTATTATGCAAATGCAGTTTAAGCCCACTCTACTAACTTACAAGGGTTTTTGAACGCTGCTCAAATGCGATGGATCGTTAATCTCTGAAGCAGGGATCGAACCTCTGCTCTGTCCGCGTTTCAAAAGAAAGGAGCAATGTAGGAAACAATAAAAAAACATAAAAATGCCTTTGCACGATCTTACAAGCTAGAATTAAATTGCGTACCATTTCTGCGCAAAACTACGGAACAATAAATCTCAAGGAGTCATAGCCACTATAGCTAAACGACAACGAGGTGTTGTGCTGGATCGCATAGATCCATCATGAACATTCTTGGACGAAACATGATGGTTAAGGAGGTGTTAAGCAATGTGTGTTTGCCATTCTTACGGGCATCGCGCCAGGCGCGCCAGCTTCAAACAGCGGCCTCACAAGTCTGCCGCAAGTTGGCTGGACCGTGGCGGCGTGCACATGCTAATACCAGCTACGAGACGTTTGGACAGGAACGAAAGCCAGAAACAGGGGGACGCACAAAGACCAATGCAACATTGATGGAAGCAAATATGCTAGTGAGAAGCGAGTGCGATACACAGAACATAGAGCGAAACGATGCCAAAACCCACATCATGGATATGTATGGAGATGTGATATTTTGCCCACCTCATATGAATGGCTTCTTCATATCTTCACAATTCTTCGCATATTGTGCATGAGGCATTTGCATGCATTTGCCGCATGAAGGCTTGTTGGTGAGCATATGACGTATGCCCGCTGTGGAAGCATGTCCAGCAAACACAAACGTTTAAAAGCTTCGCGGGGGCCTTACAGTGCGCAGTCTCATTCGTACGGAATAAATCATGCAAAGATCATCAGAGAAAAATAGGATCGGGTGGTCCAGAGCCCAGAGCTCTCCAAGCTGTTTCAGTTGCAGCAAACACCTTTTTCCCTGACCTGTGCACCTCCGTCTGTCTGCATACAAATCTGTACATGCAGCGAATTAACCCCCATTCTGCGGTGGTGGCTGTCAGGGTTCATTAACCTAATTTGTACACAGAACCTAACTGGAACCTACGCGAACCTACTCGACATCAGCATGCTTGCGGAGTGATCCCTGCACAAAGCACAGGGCTTCACTTGAAAACTGCAAAAACTAGTTGTGACAACTTGGTGATGTGAGTCATTGTGTGTGACCATTGCCCAAGACAGCGGGCCCAAGCATGACATTCGACAGCAAAAACACTATTAGTATCTATTAGTACTATACACTACCATATCATCACTATGAGGAAAACAACAAACATCGCAAAGCTCTGAAGGTGTTTTGTTGTGCATGGATCTTCATACATGGTCATGGCAAAAGGGAAAGAATGAGGTGCAAATGTCATTCTTTTTCCTTGCGTTGCAGCCAAATTCAACATGCAAGTAGCACACGGCTTGTGCAGCACTTGTTCTTGAAGTGCCCTTTTTCACCTAGCTGGTGTTCTCACCAGCATGTTCATGAAGCTTCTGATAAGAGCTTCTCAATGCAAAGCATATAGTTATATATTAGCCATAGTTAACCAAGTAACACATGTCTTCGGATAGAGTTGTCAATGAGTTGTCATATGTTGTCATGAATTGCCGGAGTTCTCCGAAAACTTCCAGAAATCTTCATGGCTCTTCGACAGCATCCTCTAAGATCTCATCGATCTCATCCTCTGGCTCTTGCGTTTCTGTTTCACGGGCGCCGCCGGAACGAGGCGGGGAGCGAAACATCTCACCTCATGCCAAACATTGCCAAACAAAGCAATTGTATGCAATTGTCAGGTAGTTTTATGATGTTTTGCAATAGTTTTGCTGTGTTTACATGCTCCACCATTGAATTTGGCCAGGCGCGTTTTGAACGGTTTCCAGCATGTAACATGTTCATACTTCCATATACTTCCATCATATTTCATCCTTTTCCCAATTTTTGAGCAACGTGATTCATCCATCAATTGTATCCAACTGTCGAAATCCTGCCAGCTGGAGCTGGGGACTCTGGGGACTCTGCCAAGGCGAGATTCCGCCACCTTGCTTGACAACTCGGTGTTGTCATAATCGAAGTCCGGATCTAGGGCGAATGCCTGGCTGATTCTGGCGGGAAGTTGTGAGAATGTGATATGTTGAATATATTTGATATCATTATCAGGATATGTTGAATATTGCACGTAGATGTATTTAGATGTATTTAGTATATTCGTCTATTTGGCTGACTATCTTAATGTCCCTTTCATGTTCCTCTTTTGTTGTATTGGCTGTGATATACTGCAATACTCATGGTTAGAATCATCGACATCATTAATTTCCGAAGTGGCCTAGTGGTGCAGCAACCAGCGCGAAACAGGCCACTTGATGAGGCCCGCCTCAACCAAATCTTCGTCATCACATCCTGCAGCCCAAACTCGCTGGATCATTGTCAACACTGCTCCATCTTGTTTTGCAACACATATGGAAACATATCGTTCATTGTAGAACATCTGAACAGGGTGGTAGTCAATGAGCTGATACCCACAAACAATCGAAGCTAATGCTCAGGGCATGAAAGTCCTGCCAAGTCTTGTCGGAAGTCCATTTCTTCCCCATCGTCAGTCAGCCGGTCGATTTGTAGCCTTGCGACAAGCAAACCATTGTTCTCTGACTGCAAGCAGCAAATGCAAACATGCAAGAATCTGCAAAAACTATAAAGCAAAACACAGTGAAATACTGTGCACATCTGTGCACTAGTGTATTTGAGATGTTGAAGCAGTTGCAGTCAGTTTCTGTAAACTTGAGCTGTCAGTCTTTGCATGACGGTCATCGTTTGGATATCGTTTGGCGTGTCTATTATACTCGACCAAATACGACCAGCCTTGATGAAAGACCTTCGGGTGTCTCATGCCTGGAAGGTGCGCCCCAACATCCCAGCGTTATTCAATGCATTTTGTTTCCATCATCATACGTTTCCAATTCGACAGAAGGGGCTTCTGTATGGCTGGACCATATGGAGGTTTCCTAAAATGGGGGTACTGTACCCATGGGTACCCTTATAATCCGTTTTAAATAAACACTCTTAATTGGATTTTCCAGTATAAACCATCCATTCACTGGGATACCCGATGGAAAACCTCATATAGCCAGGCCGCCCGAGGCGACCGCCATGCGTTTCACCTGCACGGAATTGCACGGCGTAAAACCTTTGATCTTGATGTACAAGACAGGTACACGAGCATAAATGGGGAAAAAGCATACAGTAACTATGATTATCATATATATATAATATGATTCAATATGATTCAATGATATTCAATATGTCTTGACTTTCCATCCTTTTCCTCAACTATTTCCTATCTCCTTCTTTCTTGGCATGCTTTATATTTTGAGTTTGTTAGTGGCTTACCTTCTCCCCTTTTCATCCCTTTCCCGTATTCCTGGTGGTGATCTGATATGATCTGAACTCTCATCTCATCTCATCTCTAAATCATGGGGATTCATCTGAAGTCGGGTCAAAACACTTCACCCTTCCCCATCCTCCAAACCAAAACACTTGGCAGACTTGGCATTTAATTCCATGATATTCCATGATATTCCATGCTTTCAAGATCTTTCAAGATAACAGCACTGTTGCCTTCTTTGGCCAAACTGATCTCCTCGCACGTGATGGGCGGGACCTCCGAGAGCGTGTGGGAGGAACCACGCCGGAAAGGACAAAGAGCTGCGAACAACAGTGACCTGGATTCCAACCAATACGTAACCTCTGGTTAATCATATCTCCACAAGACCGCCCCTGAACAAAAATCCTCCTCTTGAGAATGGAAGTTGGGACCAGTTAGCAGCATGGATCTGTGAAAAAATGTCCTTTTCAAGCAAATTCCTTTGAATGATATTTTTGTACTTTGCGGCCACATATGCGAAAAAACCTGAAACACTTCTTCCCACCTGATCATTGGGCACATTCAACGGGCATCTGCCCCGGTCACCAGCAGGTTTCTGCTTGGAAGAACTTGTCATTTCAGTCTCCACTCTCGCAGGTGGAGAGAAAATGTCGTGAGCCTTGCGAACGCAGCGAAATCTTCGAATCTAGCAAAACTTGAAACGGGTTTTGCTTCAAGTTGGGAACCCAAAGTTCGTTGCAATCTGATCAAGTCTATTTGTAATCTTGAAGTCAAGTGGAAGGATTGAGCTCACGCAGGGTTCCTAGCTAGCTTAGTTTGAGGCGTCCTGTCTTCCACAGTATCAGTATCATCTTTAAGAGTCTTCCTCTTTGCATAATGTTGGATGCTGATTAGTGGCTAGGTTGTATTGTGGCATTTTTTTCCCATATTATTCTGAACCCATGTATTGTTTTTGGGGTTTCACTATTGTGGCAAGAAAGTTTGGGAGACCATTTTTTGAAAAAAACAGCCTGTAATACAAGTACTACAAGTACTAACTACAAGTACTACAAGTGCTACAAGTACTACAAGTACTACAAGTACTACAAGTACTACAAATACCACAACTTCATCGGCAAAAAAACAGTTTTAATTAGATTTCAATTGTAGCCAATTGAAATCCTTACTTAAGCGAGGATTTTTTTTCCTGGGAAGAACATATTTGACTTTCCACTTTAAAGAGAGTACAGCTATTGTTTGGGGTGGGGGGAGGGGGGGGGGGCCTCACACTAATCAGGAACCAACATTATTGGCTTCATCTGACAGGCCGCGTGGACTGTGCTGTGCTCTTGATATTTGAGGAGTTCGAAGGACGCAGGGCAATTTTTTTTTACATAGCTATGTTGCGCCAGCTGGTTTGACTTGTGCCCCGAAGCTCAAAGGTGAAGCTTAAACAAGGTCCTAATTGTTGTGATATTCGTTGTGACCCTAAACAGTGCTTGACCAACCAACATGTCAAAAAATCATATAAAATCACCATCCCAAAATGTCCCAAAACCAAAACTCTTCGGCCACCTCTGTGGGTTTCTCCAGCTCACCGATGAGACTTCTCATGGACTCGAAGGATGCAGCACTGGTAGGATCCAGCAGTTCGGGAGGCAACCTTGGAGAACAGAACTTCTTGGGAGCTTCAGGACTTTGCGCCAAACTTACTTATAGGACATATCATATAACATTTTTATAATATAATTACAGTATATATATATAATCAATTATAATTATAATATACAGTATATATAATAAATTAATATAAATTATAGTAATATGATTGCCAGGAATCCCACAAGACCTTGTGCACATTGACCATGTCAGTCCATGTCCAAAATCACCGAGCTGGTTGTCCAAGGACGTGGCTCGCTGACTCGGAGCCGCTGCTGGTTCCGGTAGAAGAGCTGAACGTGACACGCTGTGCACAACCGACTGGTGGGACTCTTTGGAGTCAATGACTTCACTGACTTCACCAATATGATGTTTTAACATATGTTGACTCATAGTTACTTGCAATATATATATAGGCTGTTTCGATATGTTTCGATACGTTTCTTCAATGGTCAGGTTGACAAAGTTATCCAAAGTCAGATCCATAGTGCCAAAGTGCCATCGTCATAGCTAGAGGCATGCATGTTCATTCATGTTCAATAGGCTTTGTCTGAAAATGGAGAACCCCTAAATTTGATGGTCAATGATCCTTTTCCCCATTAAATAGCCATTTAACATGCCACAACATCCATAACATATTGATTTTTCATCATATGAAAATTATATGTTATGATTCTAGTGATATGACATGGAGGGTTTCTCCCCCTGACACAGCCATCATTACCCTCTGGTAATTTAACATAGCTATGGAAAATCACCATGCTATTAATGGGAAAATCCACTATTTCTATGGTCATTTTCAATAGCTCGCCGTTGATCGCCCCATCCTTCGGATCGATATCAAGGCGTCGGAGCTCGTCGTTGACGCTTTGACGACTCTGTGTGTCCTGGCCACGGCAAAACGGCGGGGTAACTTGGGAACTGCATTCCAGGCACGAAGGGATATATTACATAACAATATTACATATATGTTACATATATTATACTATATGAATCTATATGATCATGATATATTGTGATAATTTATGTGTGGTATATCATGGTATAAATAATTATGGTATATCTGTATACATCACATCCCCCAAACGTAAACCATTGGTTTCTCATATTCAAAAGCAAACCTTTAGCTTGCTGTGTCTTGGCGGGTGACAAACCCATGAATTACCAATATGGAACTGACAGTTTCATGAGTTATGGTCTCCTGCTCCAAACCAGGTAAAAGCCGGGCGAACTCTTCGTAACCTTGGTATTTGTGCAAAAACAATCCATCCTTCACAGTCACTGCAGCTTCATTCCGTCAACTACCAGTGCCAGATTTTCCTAGGACCTAGTAGCACAACTATTATTCCTAAGTCTGCAGCTTTCTGTTTGCAAACGGAACGGTGCCTCAGCGACCCACAGAGATCCGCAGAGTGTGTTTGTGTCTTGTTGAATCACTGTCTCCGGATTGTCCGCTGCATGTTCCAAAATACCTTTCAATTTTATCCATACTAAGATTATTCAATATGCATGAGTCCTGCACGAACATCATCTAATAATATCTAATATGGGTTTGTCTGAACCATGGATTAGGATCATTTTCCTTCTTAAGATATCTTAAGATGGCGGTTGGTGGATATCCCCTATTTTCAGACACATCTGCACTCAACTGAGCCTGGCACATCGAACATGTCTTGGCCATAGCTTGACAACGTCTCTCGCGGCAGTCCAGCTTCCAAGGAATTCACTGGCAACCCCATGGCGCAGAAGGACAAGCAGTATCAGCGATTTGTCGGGGATGGATTGTCCAATTTATTTGCTGGCAGACACATACATCATTAACTGCTGTCATCAGAGTTCTCTCATCTGCGTCATGTGGTGTCAATCTGACGCTGTGCAGCCGTCTAAAAAATTGAGGATGCATCACTTTTGCTGAGCAGCTCAAGTATGAAGCTGCGTGGCAACCGTGGCAACAGTGTCTGACTAAGGGCAGCTGGGAGTATTGAAAGATGGTGTGGCTCCAAGCCATGAAGTCGGTCTTGTGGGATCTTTGCTTCAGGAACACACACATACACACTCACATGAGGGTCAAGGCCTACGTGCCCTTGAGTTTCCACTGGCTTACAGTGTTTCCTCAAGTACGCCTTCTAAGTGTTTGACAAGGGTCAAGGAAAAGTTGACATAGTATACGAATTCTCATCACTCATGCCGGGACATCTTGACAGGTCTCAAGAGTGAAAGAAATAGAACACATCCTCGCCTGCGGGATCGCAGTTACCAATGTCACCAGCACACGTCCTGGCCTCTGGGACAAGACATTTGTGCACCGGTCATCAGATGGTACTATTTGAAGACAGAATCTACGAGTACAGCGGTTCCTGCAGTGCAACCAATCAAATCTCTGCTTTTTGGATCACAGTACTGAAAAATCAAAGTCTATGGCAAACTCACTTGGTCTGGATGTCTGGATGGGATTTGTCAATCAATCCTTGAATTTGCTTGTGTTATGTAGACAAGCACTTGAACACAAGCTTCCAATCCGGTCGGTGAGTCTGAAGATGCTGAGCAGCTTCTAAGGGTATTGCATGGCGGAAGACATCGCAAGAATTGCCTCTACAGGATCTACAGGGCAAGGGATTCAGCACACTACCAAGTCTGCGGTTTCTTTTTTTCAAGCTTGAACCACTAGAATCTCTAGAAAACCACCACAAACCACCAAAGTTTCATGGACTATGACGGACTCACCATGGCTCAGCTGCTGAAATCTCTGCTATTCATTGCCATTCCGTAGCATGTTCTTCTCAAGGGCACGCTGAAAGAAGTCTGCGCCTTGAGGGGTCCGCCAGGATTTCTACGCACAGGTCCTGAAGCAAAAAAACATCGGCCAAGATACCATCAACATAAATAACATATTAATATCACATAATATAACATAATATCAAAATACATCAATTGAATTCAATTGATACAATTTATGCCCATGATTCGTCATGGATCATGGAGACCTACGGAAAGCTGCATCACTGGAGTCCAACATGCCATGGACCATATGGACCATGCCACATTCATCCTAAATGTCATGTGAAGTCCTTGAGTTGAAGCTGGCAATGGACTTCCTGACGCCAGCCCTCAAGACCTGATCCCGTGCTGCCATGATTGTTTTCAGCTGTACCCCGGCCCATGCCGCCCATGCCGCCCATGCCTCTTCTGTCGAGAGGTCAAAGGCCACCAAAGAAAAGCTTAGGAGGACAAAATCCTCTGCAGCAATATCAGCAATTCAATGTCATCCACATCATCCATGAAATATATATCAATTATAGCCATGATATATGGCTATTCATCAATGTCAACATGACAAACAGCAATGACAACAAGTTGCTGCCAGTGTGAGATATGTCAGATTCAGTGATGCTACCGAGGTGAGGCCTCCTGGGGATCGTTAGTCCAAGCAGTACCGGCCATTCCACCCCAACCTGAAACGTCTGAAACGTCACCAGAGATGGAAATTTGCCAATCGAAGCCATTGTTTGGAGGGAAATGTAGACAATTATAGACATAGAATGGTTGAAATATCATGCTATGTATGCTCCATAATTTGTAGTGAAGACACATCATCAATCATTGTCAAATGTATTTTTGATCTTCCCTGACCAAAGAGTCTCTGAAAAGAAGGAAGGATGCAGCCAAACCGAGCCAAACCGAAGTCATCGCGAGCTAATTAACCTAGACTCATCACCGCACACCGAGAGCGGCCAGGACTCAAACCATATTCACCCGGTCGTAGTGCCTGTCATAGACTAAGGACCGGATTTCATCTTCTGGGGTGATAAAACATGAAAAAAAAAGTCAAATACAGTTGAATGGAGGTCCAAGGGTCCAGCCTCGTCAAGTTCCGGATGCTGCACCGAGACAGACTCAGTGATCATGGAGGTTTGCAAATGCTTCGCAACTCAACAATATTGAGAATTAAATCATATTACAATATTCATATATATATATTGAGTATAACATAGTATAACAAGATTGAAAAAATGATTGCACCACCGTCTTTCCATCTCTTTCTTCCATACAAAATGTATCAAAATGTGCACTCTCCGGCATCCAGCAACACTTTGATAGCCGTGGCCTGGATCCCGCCCTGCCATGCCCTGCCGGGTGCACCAGACTCCAAGCAGACCGAAACCAACACCAGGAGATCCGAAGGCCCACACATCATCCTTTCCTCCGGGGTCAGGAATTTCCAGCTTGAAATCCACTGGAGACAGAGAAAATGTATGAAAATGTAGTATCACAGCATGTCAAAATGTGTCAAAATGGAAAACAAAGGACACACAAAATATGGCTTATAGTTTTCATCACTACGCAGCTGGTACCTTTGCAGTACTGCATCAAATGGACTGCTTTTGGTCCTTGTTGATTGCCAATATATTATATGTCATACCAACGAAAAGGTGCTGCTTGGTGAGACTTGTGGTTCTTTTTTGCATCTAAAGTTAGTGCACAAGGACTGCAAGCTGCTGCCGCAGAATCTCACATAATCCTACACGCACCAGCATGTACTGTAGGGCATTGTAGGGCATGTATCGAACATGGCTGTATTATAAGGGGTTGCTTTTTGTCATGGTCCTGCGTTGCAATTCAGGGCAAGGGCTATGCTTCAAGAAAAAGGGCCAACACCTTCCCCTGAAAGACCTCTAAAAACATCGCAAATGTATTTCATGGAGTGCCCGAGAAAATGAGATTCTCATGTCTCACGTAGCTCAGAAAACTCCCGGGAAATGGGAGATCCACGGTGCAAGATTTCTATCTATGGATCTTTATCACACCCATCTCCCATCACCTCCCTGTCCCAGATCTTCATCCCAACACTCAAACTTGGCTCCTGTTGCCCTTGGCAAGAGATTGGAGCTCAATAATTCAACCGTCTCCGGCCTCAGACCAGGCTGTTTAGACTCGAAATGAACGGAAATGGCATAGACATAGGGAGGCTTCTTGGGATATATGGTAATCATGGTGATCAGGGTGATCAAGAATCAAAACAAATAAAACAAAGAGCCTGTGCACAAACAGCTCGAAACAAAGCAACAAAAAAACAAAAAAGTCAAACAACAAAATGTACCCATCCCTTGCCCATCTTCGAATCCGCTGCAGCACCTTTTTAGACGCATCTTTAGGCGTGGTGAGGTTGACGCATGTTGACGCTGCCTTGCAGTCTCCGAGTGCAAAGCATCTCAGATTTCAGTGCAGCCACCCTTGATGGCAGAGTCCGTGTCGTAGCGGCAAAGGTTGTAGGTCTCATCAAAGCTGCACCTGGGGGAAGGACACGAAAATTGGGCGCAAAGTATCTTTGCACAGCTGGGAAGGATCATGTTTCGACATTGTTTGGAAAGCTGCGTGATTTTGTTTATCCAACAACCGCAGCTTTCTCAGCTGGGTAATGCTGGGTAATGCTGGGTAAACCAATCACCAACTTCTCAGCTTTCTGTTCTGAGTTTGCCAAGAAACATCACGATCGCAGGGGAGTTGCCTTGCTTCACCCTCAGCGGTACAGTGAGGTAACGACCCCTCAAGGGAGTCATGGCCTGTGCTGTGTAATTACCTAAGTGATGCTCTAACGGAAGTATCATCATCTATTCAGTTCCAGGGTGTTTCAGAAACCTTACGAACCTAACTTTGATCGTGGAGCATTGCACTGGGAGTGCCAATCACCGTCAGGCACGTTATGTCACTTTAAATATTTTAAATGACATGAGCAGCGGTAAAAATACGTGCCACATTCCCTTGAACGAGGTTGTTTCATAGGGGCTTCGAGTGATTCCCATCCACGGCAACAGTTCATACAACCAAAACATCCGTTCATTCCAACAGGCTCAATATCAGCAATGGGATGCCCAAAGGCCAGCCATTTTAATGGGCAACATTGGCAACATTGGCAACATGATGATTACCATCTGGTTATTTAACATAGCCATGGAAAATCACCATTTTTAATAGGTAAACCATCTATAAATGGGCCATTTTCCATGGCTATGTTAAATAACAAGAGGGTAATTAGATTTTGGGGTCCCCTCTGTTCAGACATGTTCAGACCATGTTGCTTGGCATACTTTTTCAAGCACTTCTCCTTCTCCAAGCCGTTGCCTCAGCGATGCAGATAACATTGTTTAAGGAAGTAGTTCAAATATTGTTGAAATGACAATATCCATTATCCATGCCAATAATTAGAAAAGTAAGGGCCTCCGCTGGCAAGTTACAAACCTCCTTGTCTTCCATTTTGGCCATCTTGTTTCGCACGTCGTCGCACTTGCTGCTCTCGCAGCACTCCTGAGTACGGCATACTTCAAAACATTTGTTATATATATCAGTTACACAAATGAAAACAATTTAATCATCTCCCTATTAGATCTATAAGATCTATTAGATTCTATACTGCAAATTTAATTTCCTACAAACTCTCCAGAACATCGAGATCATCACCTTGGATCAGAACCACCACCAGGATGCGCGTGCTTTTTTGATGTTTTTTCTCTAAGGTCGGCACCTCATCGGTGGTGCCACCCACCGTTTTGGCCGTTGGAATCTTCATCAAGCCCTTGGCAGAGCTGCAGCTGTATTTCTCGCAGGCTGGCATGCAGCAAATGCTGTTGCTGGCACCGGTGGTGTTGTCTTTGGCGCCCCTGGCCAAGGAGTTGGTTGGCGATTTCACATGCTAAACGGCAGCAAATGGCCAATGACCACCTTGTAAGTGGAACCTATACCCATAATAATCATTAATAATCCATTAATATAACTGCAGTCTACCGCAGTTGTGGTGCAATGCTGATTGGCGGTTTCAAACCACACCAAACACAGTCGTTGATTGCGGATCATTTTCCTAATAGAAATCGTTTGAAGCATCAACCAAATGACCATTGGACTTGAAATATACGTACTTCAGGTTGAAAGCCTACTTATCGATGGTACTTGTGCCCTTTGCTCACAAAAAGCAACTGAAGGCGCACTCTGGGTAGGGCAGCCAGCCCTCCGTGGCATTGCAGGTCCACTGCTTGCAGGTAGCCAGGCAGCACTGTGTGGCATTGTCTCCTTGGATAGGCACCAAATCTCTACTCTACGCTTGCACCAAGAGCACAAAACTATGATAATAACATATAATAAGAATGACAATGACGATGGTGCCAGGGGTTGTCGTGATGATGGTGATGATGGTGATGATGGTGATGATGGGGATGATGAAGATGTAGAACATACCGAACACGATGACAAAACGATGCTAAACCATCATTCAAAAATGAGGAGCAGGGGTGGGATGAGGATGCGAATGATGCTGACCCTTTACCAAATGCAAAGGTCTGTGAAACTCTCATTCCTTTATTTTTCCCTTCTGATTGCATCACATCGCATGGACAAATGGACAGTGACTCACAAGCATCAATGCACCAAAAGCAAACCAAGGTACCGATGTCGCTTTCCACTGCAGGGAAAGGAGCCCAGCCCATTTCCATGGAGCACTCGAACTTCTTGCAAGTTGGCAAGCAGCATTCCTGCACAACTTGGATTGTGTCTCCCTACAGCAGTGGATCGCAGTGAAGCAGGAAATTGCAAGCTTGCAGCCGTGACCTCATCGCTTGCACCAAATGCGTCATCCTGCAAACTGCAAACAGGCATCAGCACGCACTACAAGGCAAAGGATATGATACACTACTACGCAATGTGATGCTGGCACGTGCAAGGTTTGTGAGAATGAGGAATTGTTGGACTTGACCTTTCGGAGAAATGACACTTTCTTGAAGATATACATTATGATATATACATATATTGTATGGTATAAATTGTTATGATATGTTGAAGACTGGTGAGCTTGATACAGCCAAAGTCGGTTTCTAAAGCTGTCCTTTGCTACGTTGGGTGCAAAACCATCGCTGCACTTGTAGGCTTTGCACTGTGGAGCGCAGCAGCCCTGCCGATGGCAAAACTGTGACTCTCCAAACGATTCAACACACCTGCCCTGTGGCTGGCTCAAAAATAGAGCCACACTAAGCAATCCACACTTTGGATTATGGCATCGAATGTGTATGTAAACTTATATATAGTGACGGACAACTACTTAGAACATCTTTTGGAAAAAAAAATTAAAAATCGTCACAGCGGGGATGTTCTAAGTATGGGGTTCAAAAAAAGTAGTTAGAACATACCCAAAACCTATACTTAGAACATTTCCAAGCTATACTTAGAACATCCCAGTGGGGAACCAATGGGAACCATACATATATGTATGTTCGAAGTATTTGTCCGTCGCTAATTATATATATATATACACTATATAATACTATATATAGATATATTTATTTAAGGGCTGCCGCCCCTGCCGCCTAATTTCTGCCGGGGTCGGCGCATATGTATAAACTAATAGGCTAGGGGCAATCTCCAGCATCAGTCTTACATTGATACATCATATTTACTATAATATATATATATGTGTATGTGTGTGTGTCCTTTCCCAGCCACAATTGCATCCAATCTCTTCTTGGGGACATGCGGATGAACCCTTTGGCTTTTCTGAGAAGGCCACATTGCACCAATTGGTGCCATTCTTTGGGGAAACCACCCGTTGTTTACAAACCAGGGTCGTTCTTGTGGGGAATTGCGATCTTATACATATATATATATATAGTAATGGAGCAGGGTGATTTTGAAGTTGTCATAAATATATATATAGGGAGAAAATTTGGGTACTGTTTGGCGGTGATGTTCTAAGTGCGGTGTTCCCAAGGTAATACATGCCTTCAGGAAATCCCCAGTTGTTCACAAACCAGGGTCGTTGTGGAAGATTTGCCATAGTCTCTCCTTATTTGGAACGTAGTGAAGTCAGAACATGTCATGGATAAATGTATCTATATATGCTGAGACATTTGCTCATTTGAATTTACAAACCTTCAATCTTACAGTATATATATAGGGATAAAATTAGGGGAATGTTTCGTGGTGATGTTCTAAGTGTGGTGTTCCCCAGGTAATACATGCCTTCAGGAAACTCCCAGTTGTTGGAAGATTTGTGATCTTATTTGCATATATTATATATATACATATCATTTTGGAGCAGTGTGATTTTTAAAGCTGTGACATTTGTATATTATTGTATATTTTCATTTGCTGAGATGTCTTTTGGGGAACGTTTGGTGGTGATGTTCTAAGTGCGGTGTTCCCAAAGTAATACCTGCCGTTCCCAACCAGGGTCGTTCTTTTCGAGTACTTGCGATCTTATAGATATATATATATATACATATCATTTTCGAGCATCGTGATTTTTAAAAATGTCACGTATGCATTCATACGCTGCGATGTTTTTTGATTTTAAATCCCAAACCTTCAATCTTGCAGTATAAACATAAATAAATATATATATATATACACATTATATATAGGGAGAAAATTGGGGGAATGTTTGGCGGTGATGTTCTAAGTGCGGTGTTCCGAAGGTAATACATGCCTTCAGGAAATCCCCTGTTGTTCCAAGCCAGGGTTGTTCTTTTGGAGGACTTGCAATCTTATATTTTATATATATATACATATTTAAATGTATCATTTTGGAGCATGGTGATTTTAATATATATAAATATGTCACGCATGTATTCCTACGCGGAGATTTTTTTTGATTTATATAAAATACCAAACCTTGAATCTTTCAGAATATATATATATATGAAGAAAAATTGGTTACTGTTAGGCGGTGATGTTCTAAGTGCGGTGTTCTCAAGGTAATACATGCCTTCAGGAAACCACCCGTTGTTTACAAACCAGGGTCGTTCTTGTGGGGGAATTGCGATCTTATACATATATATATATCATATATATATATATAGTAATGGAGCAGGGTGATTTTTGAAGTTGTCATAAATATATATAGGGAGAAAATTTGGGTACTGTTTGGCGGTGATGTTCTAAGTGCGGTGTTCTCAAGGTAATACATGCCTTCAGGAAACCACCCGTTGTTTACAAACCAGGGTCGTTCTTGTGGGGGAATTGCGATCTTATACATATATATCATATATATATAGTAATGGAGCAGGGTGATTTTTGAAGTTGTCATAAATATATATAGGGAGAAAATTTGGGTACTGTTTGGCGGTGATGTTCTAAGTGCGGTGTTCCCAAGGTAATACATGCCTTCAGGAAATCCCCAGTTATTCACAACCAGGGTCGTTCATGTGGAAGATTTGCCATAGTCTATCCTTATTTGGAACCTAGTGAAGCCAGAACATGTCATGGATAAATGTATATATATGTGCTGAGACATTTGCTCATTTGAATTTACAAACCTTCAATCTTACAGTGTATATATATAGGGATAAAATTAGGGGAATGTTTCGTGGTGATGTTCTAAGTGTGGTGTTCCCCAGGTAATACATGCCTTCAGGAAACTCCCAGTTGTTGGAAGATTTGTGATCTTATTTGCATATATTAAATACATATATATATACATATCATTTTGGAGCAGGGTGACTTTTAAAGCTGTGACATATGTATATTATTGTATATTTTCATTTGCTGAGATGTCTTTTCATTTAAAATCCACAACCTTCAATTTGGGGAACGTTTGGTGGTGATGTTCTAAGTGCGGTGTTCCCAAAGTAATACCTGCTGTTCCCAACCAGGGTCGTTCTTTTCGAGTACTTGCGATCTTATAGATATATATATATACATATCATTTTCGAGCATCGTGATTTTTAAAAATGTCACGTATGCATTCATACGCTGCGATGTTTTTTGATTTTAAATCCCAAACCTTCAATCTTGCAGTATACAAATAAATAAATATATATATATATAATATACACATTATATATAGGGATAAAATTGGGGGAATGTTTGGCGGTGATGTTCTAAGTGCGGTGTTCCGAAGGTAATACATGCCTTCAGGAAATCCCCTGTTGTTCCAAGCCAGGGTTGTTCTTTTGGAGGACTTGCAATCTTATATATTATATATATACATATTTAAATGTATCATTTTGGAGCATGGTGATTTTAATATATATATATATGACACGCATGTATTCCTACGCGGAGATTTTTTTTGATTTATATAAAATACCAAACCTTGAATCTTTCAGAATATATATATATATATATGAAGAAAATTTGGTTACTGTTAGGCGGTGATGTTCTAAGTGCGGTGTTCTCAAGGTAATACATGCCTTCAGGAAACCACCCGTTGTTTACAAACCAGGGTCGTTCTTGTGGGGGAATTGCGATCTTATACATATATATATATATATCATATATATATATAGTAATGGAGCAGGGTGATTTTTGAAGTTGTCATAAATATATATAGGGAGAAAACATGGGTACTGTTTGGCGGTGATGTTCTAAGTGCGGTGTTCTCAAGGTAATACATGCCTTCAGGAAACCACCCGTTGTTTACAAACCAGGGTCGTTCTTGTGGGGCAATTGCGATCTTATACATATATATATATATAGGAATGGAGCAGGGTGATTTTTGAAGTTGTCATAAATATATATAGGGAGAAAATTTGGGTACTTTTTGGCGGTGATGTTCTAAGTGCGGTGTTTCCAAGGTAATACATGCCTTCAGGAAATCCCCAGTTGTTCACAAACCAGGGTCGTTCATGTGGAAGATTTGCCATCTATATATATATATATGTCTATCCTTATTTGGAACGTAGTGAAGTCAGAACATGTCATGGATAAATGTGTATATATATATATATATGTGCTGAGACATTTGCTCATTTGAATTTACAAACCTTCAATCTTACAGTATATATATAGGGATAAAATTAGGGGAATGTTTCGTGGTGATGTTCTAAGTGTGGTGTTCCCCAGGTAATACATGCCTTCAGGAAACTCCCAGTTGTTGGAAGATTTGTGATCTTATTTGCATATATTAAATATATATATATATACATACATTTTGGAGCAGGGTGACTTTTAAAGCTGTGACATATGTATATTATTGTATATTTTCATTTGCTGAGATGTCTCTTCATTTAAAATCCACAACCTTCAATTTGGGGAACGTTTGGTGGTGATGTTCTAAGTGCGGTGTTCCCAAAGTAATACCTGCCGTTCCCAACCAGGGTCGTTCTTTTCGAGTACTTGCGATCTTATAGATATATATATATATATACATATCATTTTCGAGCATCGTGATTTTTAAAAATGTCACGTATGCATTCATACGCTGCGATGTTTTTTGATTTTAAATCCCAAACCTTCAATCTTGCAGTATACAAATAAATATATATATATAATATACACATTATATATAGGGAGAAAATTGGGGAATGTTTGGCGGTGATGTTCTAAGTGCGGTGTTCCTAAGGTAATACATGCCTTCAGGAAATCCCCTGTTGTTCCAAGCCAGGGTTGTTCTTTTGGAGGACTTGCAATCTTATATATTATATATATACATATTTAAATGTATCATTTTGGAGCATGGTGATTTTAATATATATATATATATAAAGATGTCACGTATGTATTCCTACGCGGAGATGTTTTTTGATTTATATAAAATACCAAACCTTTAATCTTTCAGAATATATATATATAGGAAGAAAATGTGGTTACTGTTAGGCGGTGATGTTCTAAGTGCGGTGTTCTCAAGGTAATACATGCCTTCAGGCAACTCCCAGTTGTTCCAAACCAGGGTCGTTCATGTGGAAGATTTGCCATATATATATATGTCTATCCTTATTTGGAACGTAGTGAAGTCAGAACATGTCATGGATAAATGTGTATATATATATGTGCTGAGACATTTGCTCATTTGAATTTACAAACCTTCAATCTTACAGTATATATAGGGATAAAATTAGGGGAATGTTTCGTGGTGATGTTCTAAGTTTGGTGTTCCCCAGGTAATACATTCCTTCAGGAAACTCCCAGTTGTTCCAAACCAGGGTCGTTCATGTGGAAGATTTGTGATCTTATTTGCATATATTAAATGTGTATATATATATATACACATATCATTTTGGAGCAGGGTGATTTTTAAAGCTGTGACATATGTATGTTTCATTTGCTGAGATGTCTTTTCATTTAAAATCACCAACCTTCAATTTGGGGAATGTTTGGTGGTGATGTTCTAAGTGGTGTGTTCCCAAGGTAACACATACCTTCAGGAAACCCCCAGTTATTCACAAACCAGGACCGTTCTTTTGGAGGACTTGTCATATTATATATATATACATACATACATACATATTTATTTATATATATACATCATTTTGGAGTTTTTTTGACTACCCCCTGTAGGAAACCCACAAACTACTAGAGACCTTCCCATTGCAGCGAAGACTGCTTGGGATATTGTTCCCGAAGAAAAGGTATATATAGAATGCTGCAGCAGTGAGGGGGGAAAGTGTTCTAAGTATGGTGTTCACCAAGGTATTTGTGTGTATATAATGTGTATATATCCAGATTTACCAAAGTAACAGGACATGTTCTAAGTATATGTGTGTTTTAATGTTCTAAGTATACAAAAATCAATGGAGATGTTCTAAGTATCTGTTTTTATGATGTTCTAAGTGCGTACTTAGAAACATTTCTGATGTTCTAAGTAGGGTAATTTTGATGTTCTAAGAAAAGGTTCCGAAATTTTGGAAAAAAAATGATGTTCTAAGTAGTTGTCCGGCACTATAATCTTATTAATATATAATATATATACATATGAGTTATAATCTATAATATCTATGCATTATAGTATATCGCATTTTTCACTACTTCCAAATACTTCCAGTCATTCTCACATGCTGATTCTCTTCGGAATTCAACAATGCCCCAGCCTCATCCGTTCCGTCGCTTGTCTTGTTCACATCCTCATCTTTGACCGCAGAGCCGAAGGGGCATTTCACTTGGGCGGAGTTGCCGCACAATGGGGTGCAGCAATCCTGCCAGCAATGACAGTAACTAGGATGGCAAAACAACCAAACACTCGGTCAGTCAACAAACAAAACATGACAGAAAACAGATCGACAGGTCTATCTTATCATCTTTCCGGCCATTCTGAGTGCAATTGTGGGTTGCGGTCAACTACAGTACTTCTGTCTATGTCTCCACAGCGAAGGAGCCATTGAAAGCAAACGTTCCGGCAAGTGAAGATGAAGTTGCATAAAATAAAGCAATCATAGATATCCACAAAGGGTAAACCCTTCAAACAAACAAACAAACAAACAAACACAAAAAACACGTCTGTCAGAAAAGCTCGACCTGCTCAGCCTGTTAGGACTTGACTATCAAAGAATTATGTTCCCTTTTCAGTCACCCCAGCACTTTGCAAAAAGCAGAATCATCAACCTCGTGATATGGCGGTGAGTTAAAACCCACATGATGTTCATTATTATTATTTTTCCTGCTTTGGCTGTACTCACACTACTCACCCGCTTGGCCAATGTTCTTCCTCCCCAGCTTTTGGATGCTTTTGGCGCCTCAGGTGTGCTGCCAATTTCCAACTCCTTGCTCTTGTTGGGCGCCCAGCCGGGCAGCGAGCAGTTCACCGCGGCGCAAGTCTTCTCGCAGCATTCCTGACCGATTCTGGAGGAGAGGCTCAGATACGCTCAGCCAGGTGTGGAATGGAGACCCTCTTCTTGAAATCCTTGCATGGATCTCTTGACACGGTCCATTTCTGTCCTCTGCGCTGCTGGCCACCTTAACAACACTTTCTTCAGCATCTTCACAAATGTGATGCCAGCGAGGATGGATCAACCTTTCATGCTTCAATATGCTTCAATGCAAGCACTTGGGGGGATAATCCATTTACAACCATTTACCGAATCATTTACCACTTCTTTGATGTTCACCAGTCACCAGGATAGCATTATTTTGACTTTTTGACCCACATAGTCAGACACAATCCCATAGCGATCTCTCTTTCGGCTGTGAGGCCCCGGCCACATCCTTCTTCGCTGCGCTTGGTGCCCAAGGGGCAGTGCATTCGAAGAGCTGGCACTTGGGTTGGCAGCAGTCCTTCATCTCAAAGGATTCAGAGATGACATCCATGGCTGAGGTCAATCAAGGTCTTGTGATCTAGGAACATGATACTCTGTGGCACTTCATGATAATCTATTCTTTATAAATTTATAACATTTTATAACATCAAATGGTTAATTCCAGGGAAGTCTGCTGACTCAAACGGTATTTCACTGCTGGAACCAGCAATTTCCTTCTTGGAAACACCAGGAGCAGTGGCATCTGCCAGAACGTAGCCCACATCGCACTCAAAATCAGTCCTTGGCCATGCTGCTAGGCTACAGCAATCCGATGAAGCTTTTGGCATTCCCCACCAAAAAGTGGAACAGCACAAAATCATGGGGCCCATGTAAAGCAGAATTTAGAACTCAAAATCATTCAAAATCTAGAACTCTGTTATTTATACACTGTTTGTCTTATTTCTTTGCTTTTTTTTGCTGACTCTTTAATGTTGTTTCCGCAACCTCATCCCCTATCACAAAGTTTCTGCCAAAAACTTGGCTGCCGACCCGCACATCTTGTCGCAGCAAACCTGTGGCGAATTTCCAACGTTGCCCCAGTATGCCTGGTCGTCAGCAGCTCCAAGCTCAAAGACTTCTTGCGTAGGTGGATTGTGCTAATCCCCAATATAACGGGTAGAACAACATAATGACTCCCATTGACTCCCTATAATCATCAACATATCATCAACCAACAGATTTTTTTGTTCAACTGCTCGAATATCAACACACCATCCAACGTCAGCAGGATTGGATGAGCCATTCAACGCGGACAGTCAAAGCCTTGATGCTGCTGGGATTGCTGAACATCGCACACGCTTTACTTTCACTGTCAGTTATAGCTAGAAACCCCTTCATGAGGTAGGTGCGACCCAAGGATCTTAGACAATCGTGAATCAGTGAATCAGTCAGCTGGACCCCGAAAAAGAACAGTTCACTGATATTTTTTGTAGATTTCCCATGATTTCCCCCACGGAATCCAAGCCTCGTTGGATCGGTAGACACCCCTGCAGGTGAACAATTCGCATGTCTTGTCCTTGGAAGCGGTGCTTTTTTGGGGACATCCCAAGCTGGGGACGTTCATCTCGTCTACCCTTAAAAAAGTACCACATAATATAATGATATATCATGTCAATAGCTGATTATAGGATATTAATGGATATTATAGGTCAACATTGGGTTCCCAAAACACTTAGACATACTTAGACATAATTATCTGAATTCTTCTCTCATGGTCAATAGTAAAAATGGCACCAGTCGGGTCCCATGATTCCCAGGACCGCACGAACATCCCACGCGACCAAGACACACAGCAGTCTGCAGAGGTAGAGCCCGACAGAGTGTGATGGTTGGGCTTTGGTCTCCAGGCTGCTGGGCACCTGGAGATATGATGAGTGGGTACGCCTTGGAAATGCTATGACGGAGTGGATCATCAGTTTGATGATACCTTGTGATGTTTTGATGATATGTTTGAAATCTGAACTCGGAATGATAAGTTATGGGTGGCCACAAAAAATAAAGAAACCTATAGACACGTGTTGTATCTAGGCATTTTAGAGGTGTTCTAAGTGTCCAGTATACAATTTTCTATCAATTTTGCGGTTTGCCGGATAATGAATCCCAATGAAACATCATTAAACATCCATTATGACAAGCTGGTCATCATAACCCAGTCTACGAACGTCCATGACTGGGATATGGGTCTGTTTGTACCTTATGGACTCGGTACACATGAAACGTGTGGTTTCAAAATGTCCCGCAGTACCACATACATTCTCTTTACTTTAACATCAATGTATGGTTTGTGGTTTGCCAGGCCAAAGTTTTTTTGGTGATGTTTTTAATGTTTTTCGTGAATTCTTGCTATCCAGTGAGAAACCTTTCGTCTAGGGTCCACACTTCTGTTTGTCGCAGGATGTCGTGGTGGCAAGTTCTTGATTTGCCTCGGCCACTACCAAAAGCTGGCCCATAGCCGTAGCCATTGTCACTATAGGAATATTCCGATTCAAACGCATATTTTCTTACTGTTTTTGGTTTCTTGTGTTTCTTGGTATAATTTCCCTTCCACCCGATAATTAACACCAGAAACCATGGTTTTAGTATTGGATCTCTTCATTTTGGGGTCTATGATATACTGCATATCATTAGGGAATTTTCACTGCAGTCCAATCGATCCAACTTTGCCATAGCTGCCTTCACACTGCGAAGAGTGAGCTTCTTGGCGGAAACCGCAGATAAAAGGACAGCCAAAGTAGCAATTGTCTTCATTGTGACCTCAATGGATTCTTAACATGGGGCATATGGTGGGGGATATAGGGGATCCCCAAACCATGGCTTTTAATACCATTGTGACCTCAACTTTGTTAGTTCTGCTGCAAAAAGAGCTTGACTATTCTGGACTCTGACTGTATAATCAAGAAAATCTGAGGCATCTGCCAGAGGAGCAAGATGTTCGGTCCAGGACAGAGTGAGGATGGACCGAGATCAGCTGTCGAACCAAAATGTCGCGATGCGGAATCTCTTCTCAGAGCTAACAGATATTATGTCCAATCATCAACCAGACCTTTCCTCGATTGAACTTTTGGGATTCTTTATATAGGGATATATAGGGATTATTGCAAACAGATCATAGACATTCACAATGCCATACTCATCATACCCAATTTGGGGCTTCTTCTTTTCCTTTTGGTGTGCCATGGTGTATCATGATGCATCCCTGCAGGACGCAACAGCTAAAAAGAACCCCCAGGGCCCCAGGGTCTCGGCTTCAGCACTCTGATGCCATCAAGCTCTCCCTGCGCACGAGCTTGAAAATCTTGAAACACCAACGATGGTCCAATAGTATTTGCACATCCTCACATTTGCCATGGTCAAAAGGGTGTGTCTGAAAATAGTGTACCCCTAAACCCAATGGTTTTGCTGATCATTATCCCTAATTAAATGGCTATTTCATTGGGAATATTAACCCAACATTTTCAGACAAACCCAAAACATATCAAAACATGGTATATGATGGTATATGGCTGTCATCCCACCATGATCGTGAATCCTTAGAATGGCTACACCATTCACGTATGGTCATATCGCCATCAAATGGCCATCAATGGATTGATGAAATTGATGACTGTCCCCCAATACGGGTTGATCTAATCCAACGAAATTGACCGTGGTCCCAGTGGTCCCCTGCTGATTTGGACGAAGATTTTTTGTTGACTCCACCATGTTGGTTATCCATGGTTATCCAATACCACCTTGATCACATTTTGGTGATCCATATTTCAATTTTTCGGATTTCCTTGGATTTCTTGAACTCTTCCAAAGATTTCCTATGCAGTTTACCTTTAACTAGTTTTGGAAGAAAATAAACAGTGATTTAGCTCTGGGCCTTCCGGAGCAACATGAGGAGAAACCGCGAGTAGTCCTTGGACGCAGAAAAGGCATTGGTTTACCAAGGCATTGACAGTGTCCACACCCGCACTATGTTCCGGGCTCTCGCGGTGCTCACCATCCCTCCTGTCATTGCGTCGACGCTGCCACCACCTTTTGCACCAGAAACAACTCATTGCAACTGCTGGAACTACTTCCAGTGTGGTCAAAGATTCATGAGGACTCCAGATATCTCAAGATGAAAATGATTGTGTTCAATCCACATCTCCGCTGCCCATGCCTGCAAGGATGGGGCTGGTGTTACCTGCAATCCACCTGCAAATCATAGCAACGACGACACGGCATTGTTTGCATATACCATATCCACCCAACAAAAACTCAGAAAGTCAGTGGAAAAGAATGAAAAGAGTGAACAAGGGGACACATCAACTAGTATCAATTTGTCTGGAAACTTCCGAAACTTCCAACTACGACTCCTCCTATGGAATTGACTGGAACAACCACAGAATAGTAGAATATAGTAGAATGGTATATAGAATGGTGATATTTGTATGTGATGTATGTATTTGTTTGATCAATTTTGGATAGTTCAACATGGCTCAGCACAAACTCCTTCAATGATCCAATCCCACAGCGGTCAAGTCCCCGACTCATTGCATTCACTGCTTGGTGAATCCTCGGCGACTCCAGTGCCAGTGACACCAAGGGACGGTTAGATGTGGATCCTGAGCACCACACGAGACGCAGCAGTTTCGGTTCTTTACCCTCCTCTTCTTCCAAGCGATACCTGGCTTCATCTCTCGAACCACCAAAAAGCGGGGTGTGATGGGTGTGATGCTAAGTTCCTGAGATCAAAACATTCCGGAGGTACGAAACCACCTTGGCAGCTGGCACAAGCGAATAAAACCATGTGTGTTCTTCCGTGATCTATCTGGGATCAATTCCATTCAATTCCTTTATCTTTCAAAGGTGGCTCAACAACTTGATCAGACATCCAAATCATCCTTAATTATTAGATGTTGATCCTCTATCCTAAGCGTATCAACGTGGCATGATGTGGCATGGAGCTTTGATGATTTGATTTGACGGTAAATGGATGCACACAAAGTGGCCTTTTATTTTTATTTGTGATGGTTGATCGGGATATGATTGATATATTAATATATATATATATTATATATTATAATATCATACATATAATATATAGTTCAATTTGATACAAAACAACATACATAATTATTTAATCATAATAATGTGATACAGTGTGGGCCTTGGGCATCCTCATAATGCAACCAAGCAGCTTGTTTGCTGAGATCTCAAAGCTCGTATCAACCTAGAAGTGCCAAACATGTGCGGTTGCTGCTCCCCCAGGGAATTGCTTGACTCACTCACCTGTGACAAAGCTACACATGCATCCAAAAAACAAAGATTAGAGCCGGACAATGCTGATCTTTACGTTGTTTTCTTACAGCTTCAAAACACAGTGCCAACCAGTATTTCCATTGAAAGTCTTTGCAGAACAGCCTTCAAATGTGGACTCTTACAGAGATCATTCTTATATATTATTATCATTTATGATCTATCACTGTCTATCACTGAAATAAGGTGCTAATTTTTCCGGTGATTTCCGCTGGAAGATCCTTCCATTGCCCATCAAGCTGGGTCCCGGGATCCCGGATCCCATGGGATCCCCGGCCATCTTCAAAGGTCCTGTGACCTTGCTGCGGATCACGTGGTCCAGCGCCTGGCCTGTGGCCACCTGGCTGATCACCAGCGAATGGTGGAGAAATGGTGGATGAACGGTGGATGAATGGTCCACAACTTCTGGAAATGACATGAAATCATGAAATGACATGAAATGACCAGTTTTCCAAACCAACTGCGGATAGGCTGCCCCACTTCAATGATGCGGCCAATCACGTCATGACCGTAGCCATAAAGCCAGTCGTCGCCCGGGTGATGTTGCAAAGGAATGGCTGCCAACTCGTTGCACCACTGCTCCAGTGTGCACACCTGAGATCTTCTGCCCTTTTCTGGATATCTTCTGCAGTCGTGGGGACAGGATGGATGGACAATATGTTCATGGGAGATATTCTCATGTTTTTTCAGCTACATGACATGATTGCAAGTCGACAAGAAACGACAGTCACAGAGGTACCACACGTGAATCTCAGGGGAGCACTGCTCGGGGATCGCTGGACTTTCTGGCCAAACCAGTACGGATGATCAATTCTTTGAAGCGTTCCTGGCAAATAGATTCAATCAAACAAACCAATGCGGCATGTGAGTCGACGGTGTCAGCATATTCCCATTCATCAATACATGTCCATTCTCATACTGTTAGAGACTCAAGGTACGAGTGTCCGCCCTTTCGTTCCCTACAACACCATAAGTCACCCCACCGCATGGCACACCGCCACCAAAAAGTCACCCCACAAAATCCCAAAGTCATCACACAGTAGCCAGTCCTCACCGTTGCAACTGGGTTCTTCTCCTAGCATAGGTCCTGAGGATATGATCTCCAAGAGCAACCAATCGTGGCTTCAAAGTCCGAGGCATTAAGCCGCAGTCTGAGACGCCCACCATAACCGATACCAGAGGTATGGGTTAGTAAATGCAAAACCTGGGTGATGGCAGTTTACCGGGCCAAAGAGAGGGAATCTGCTGAGGAGTTTACGGTGATTGGTTGGCGCGCTGCAACTATGCCGTCCTGACAAGATGAAAAAGCGACTCGTGACAATTGATTCATGTGTATGTATTTAGATCATAGATTCTTTATATATTGCAATATTAGGGTTTGATGTGTATATCTGTATATATATGTGTTCCCGAATAGAATTGAAAATGTCAGAAACAAAATACAAGCAACTGCAACGAGCAATCAGCACTTTTGCTATGCAGTTGGCTTGTGCGGCTGGGTTTCTGTCAGATGCCAAACGCATCCATCACAAAACTGGTTTCATCTGAGACCCTGAGATACAGTGGTGGTGTCACACGTCTAATCCACCCAACCCGCCGGAGCGTTGAGCTCGCGAGAAGGAAAAACAAACAAGGGTTGTAAGGATGGAGATCACCACTGTCAAAAGAAAGTCAGCCGCAGCCACCTGGCTCCAGTGGACCTTAGGTGGCATGATGGTCGGTCTTACGACGTTTAGAATTGTTACCCGAAGGTTTAGGGGCAGTCATCTGGTCATCCAGAAGAGCCCACAGAAATTTAAAATGGGAAAAAACTTCTCTCACTGGTAGTCGCCGGTCAGGTCGAAATCCAGTGAAGTCAGGATGGGTAAGTTCATCTGCCCATTGATTGTAATCCCTCTTCATGTGCGAAGGCGCCAATTGGACCCCAGCAGCATGGATCATGACAATGAGTTGCATGAGGAAAGCTGAAGTTGGCATATGCTTCGTCTTCTGGTTCAAAAGGGCGAAAATGTTACCTTGATTGTCAGAGATGAGGCTAAGCCTAAGCCGAGTGCGAGGTAACGATTTTCCACCCAAAATCAAGAGAAAATGGGATCAACGTGCCGAACATCTCCAGGGCTGCAATTCGCCTCGTCGGATCGCCATCTTTGTGAGCCCATGGGTGATCTTCCAGGGGTACCTCATAGTGAAACCACCAGGTCTGTTCCTTGGAGGGGTTCTCACAATCTGCAATCCAACCGCCAATGTAAGCCCCGTCTTCTGGGTGTGCACTTGCGTCGCTAGCACCCCACCAGTTGGAAGCTGGATCACAAGGACAGGGCTGGATTTGGGGGTTGTGAAGAACATGAAGGAGGAGCTTGGCAAAGGACCGGATGAGTTTGCTGGGCTTGCCAGAAGTTGTAGTAGCTGATTTCCAGACCCAAAAGGGTTGGAGGAAAGGACGGCTAAGAGGCCACGGCATCCGCCAGAAGAAGATCCCGGAATTGGCGACACACAGGCAGAAGACGGCGGAGATTAAGTCCTTCCTGTCCAGCTTGGGGCTCCGCTTTCCCCAAGTACCAGCAGGAGATCCGCTTGCTCTACAAAGAGATTGGCAGCTTTTTGGCGGCATCTGTCTTCTTGGCCCGAACCCCGGCCATTGTTCTGGACCTGCCAGAGAAGGAGGTGCAGGACACCAAAGAACAGATGAGATTCCGTGCCAATCTCTTTGTAGAGCAAGCGGATCTCCTGCTGGGACTGGGGAAAGCGGAGTCCCAAGCTGGACAGGAAGGACTTAATCTCCGCCGTCTTCTGCCTGTGTGTCGCCAATTCCGCGATCTTCTTCTGGCGGATGCCTTCCCCCTGTCCCCTGCGTACCGGCTTGACAATCAGGGGCATGAGGCACCACACTTGGTAGATCTCCTTGAAAGTCCATGATTGCCCAGCATCGTGATCATGGAGGGCAAGTGCCAAGACTGCACACGCCGGACCAGGTGGGTCTGTTCGGTGCCAAAAGCTACCGCCATTCCCGGGGCCCAAAAGAAACCAACAATCTTGTCCATGTCAGGGCGCTTGCCATCGTCAATCTGTTTGAGCACCTCTTGTTCGGTGTAGGTCTGAGGCACATAGGAAGTTGTTCCCAAGGGATTCGTCCTGAGCTCCAAGGCCAGCACCTCAGCCACCGGTGCCGGTTTTGCCCAAGATGGTGCGTCCAGAGGTCCCTGTCGGAGCTCCCAATCGCCACCCCAGGCTCTGACTTCACCATTGTGATACTGCAGGACAGAGTCCAGAATCGCATATTTGCGCTCCAGGCTATCAGGCGGCAGCAGGCGTGCGAGACCGGCTTCCTGAGAGGATTCCGTCCCTTCTCCATAGGTGTACATGTCCAACTTAGTCTTGGGGAATTCCTCCATCAACCGATCCTTTGAAAGAGGAGGTCGATTGCCCTTGATCAACTCCTTCAGGCGAAGGTAGGGCTGCTTCAGGCTCCCCGTGTCAAACTGTTCAGGGCCCTGTGGGTCACTGGAGGGGGCGAAAAGATTCCCCTGCCATGCACTCTGAAGTTCCGGTGTCCAGAGAGAGAATGAGGCCACCTCCAAAGGCTTCAGTGCCATCCTGCGGCCACGAAACTCTGCATCCAAGGCTTTGTTGGCTTCCATCGCCGTCGCCTGTGTGGTTTGGGCCGCGGTCAATGCCTGGTAGGAGACCGTCACTCCACTCTCTTCGTGCTTCCTCTTGAGAAAGGTCCTGAATTGCTCTAGGTCGACTTTTCGAAGCGCATCTGCGCCAACTGGTCCTTGACCTCATGAGCACCCTGCTGGATGGCTGTCAAGGCCTGGAGTTCATATGGCGATGATGTTCTCTTGCTGCTTCTTGTGCTCCCGACGCTGCCTTTTGGCTTCTTGGGCTGCCTCTGTCAGGTCTTCCTCCTGCGTTGCCAAAAGGTCCGCCTTGAACTTGACCATCTGAATAGTCTTTGGGTGGAAGATCACCGCCGTCTGGGAGGCATCCCTGTCATCCAGTGTCGGGGGGAGCTTTCCATCTGGATGGAAAATCTCATCTTTGCCGAAGGTCTCGACCTGCTGACGCAGGGTCAGTCGATGCGAGGAGGGAACCTGCTCAGAAAAGCTAACCAGCTCCATACCGGCGCCAGAAGCTGCCGCAGGAGGAGGTCGTCCCAAGTCGCCCACTTCCACAAATCCAGCAGCCTTAGTCACCTTAGTGTTTGCTGGGACCCGGTCCAGCCTCAGTAATCCTCAGTTGCCAAGTCTGACCTTCCACCTCAATCACCGAGAGGGGGGACACTGTCAGGTCAACAGAAGAAGACCCTTTGCAAAGCAAGCACTTTGAAAACTTTCCCCAGGGCGCGTTACAATCCGCAAAAACCAATTGTGGGGAGGTCCCCGGGTCCTCCTCTTGCAAGTGCATCATGGAACCACCACGTTGAGTAGCGTGGCGGATCTTCAACATCTCGTTGTGGGCAGCCTCCCTCTTGGCGATGTAGTACACCTCCAAGATCTTGGCCACCAAGGATGCCGTCCAAGTTGAAGAGCGGAAGGCATTCAGGAGGGAGCTGAGTTCACCGTGCGTAAGGTCCCTAGCAAATTTGGCTGCTGACTCAGGCAAGGCCGGCAACAAGGATTCCCAGCCTTCAATGGTGAAGGTGTGTGTGCTCTGGTCCACCTGGGTTGTCAGCGTCTCCTTCTCGAGAGTCCGCATGGTCGCCATGGAGGCTTGTCCTGCCGGTTGGACGAAACCTGGAGGGGCTTTGGCGCCAGAAGCTGCCACACCCACATCAGGCTTTGGCTCCAGCCCCAGCTCTGACATCACCTTCTCCATCTCCTTGAGTTGGTTGGCCAGGGTCTCCTTGGTGATGGCTGGGTCACTCTCAAACTCCATCTCAACTTCGGCCGGCACAGCTTCAGTTGTTGGAAGGTCAAGTAGCATGTAGTCCTCCCCTTCAGCCACATCCGTTCCCACCAAAGAAAAGGAGGCAATCGTGCCCTTCTCACTTGCCACTGGGCTCGAGGAAGCCATGGTCGGAGGGAAGTACGGTATTTTTCGAGTGCTTAGATCACAAGGGGAGGACTTGAGCCAAAATGGCATAGCCATTTTGGCAACTATATCGTCAACACATTACTTGCTCTCCACAAGTTCCAAGCAAAGAAACAAACATATATAATTATTGATATAACACATATGAATACATATGATCTATGTCACATAATGCATTGATCCATGGTGGACCCCCTGCCTCAGTGGACACCTGTACATTGGCAAAGGCAGGGATGTACCTTGCAGCTTGCAGGTCCCGTTAATATCTGTTGATATCCGTTGATTACCAACGGCCTCACCAGGACGTCCAGGGCACTTGGAGACATGATCATCAAGGCCAAGTAGGCCTTCCTGTCATGACCCATGACCACTTGCCAAAGTCCCAGTCAAGTTGAGAACTGATACATACTAATACCTTCCTGATGTAAATATTGCAAATCACCAAGTTCGCAGGTGGTAAGATAACCGGATTTGCTTTCGTTTTCCTTTTCAATCTTGAAATTGTGCATACTGTGCCTGTATAAGGAGTGCTTTGGCCTTTATTCTCCGCAAGCATAAGAACTGCCTTCTGCGGAATTCCAAAACGTGAAACATCTCTTGAAATCATCTCTTGAAAACATCTCCTCCACCATTGGACCATGCCTCCCCCATGTTTCTACTCCGGTCCATCAGACCTCCAAACAAACGCCCAAGGCCGCAGAAACGATGCACTTCGTCATGGAGTACAACCGAACAATGCTGTCCGGCTTCATCTCGACCTGGCCATCCAAGGCTGAGGGCAGTGAAAGACCTTCCCAAAAAAGGGGGGTTGACCTACCAGCAATCCAGCAATTGATGGATGTTTTTATTTAAGCAATACATATATATATATATATGATATATGTATATATTATATGCATATTCAAGTATGTTCAATTCTTGTAGCAACATAATTTTTCAAAACGTCTTGCTGGGGTATCCCTTTTCAAATTCAAAAGAATGGCTGCGTGACATCACATGACATGTGAGTGTCTGAAGATTAGGTATACCCTCAAATGGCCACTTGCTGGGGAAAATGACCGCAAAAAACACTGGGAGTTTGGGATGTCCAATTTTCATACAAACCCAAATATGAGATTGTTGAAGAATGTTGAATATATATATATATATATTATATATATATACACAGAACCCTGGTACCTAGTGAACCCCAAAATAGCTGGTAAATGGATGTTCATCCCACTAAAAATGTATCTATAGGTATTGACCCATACCCATATATATCCCATTCTATCCTTGTTCATGGATGATTTTCCCATTATCTCTCCAATATTCAGACAGTATGACAGTCGTCCAACCTTCCTTTCGAGATCTGCAAAGCCAAAGCAATCCAGGTGCCCAAGAACACCACGCCTGCGAGCGGTCCCCAACATGGCCAAATACTCAGCGGGATGATGAATCAAGTCCATGGATTATGCATGGAAAGGATTGCCATGGATTCCCCTCCAGTGGAATAAACCAGCTTCATCAGCATTAATAGCATTAATAGTAATATATAGTAAAATATATAGTAATAATAATATTATATATAATTATATTGTATACATATTAACAGCAAATAATGAAAATATCTATTGCAATGCCATCGCTGACATCCCACATTTCCGAAGCCTGAACACCATGCCTTGGTGCCATCTCTGAGGCAAGGGGCTGGACATCAACGCATTGAACCAATATTAACCATAGTTCTATAATCAACCTCGGACTGCTGAGATCACCTGAGAAACCATATTCTGCAATATTCATTTAGAAAATATTAGATCTATATTCATTAGAAACGGCACTCTCATCCCATCTGAACCAAGTGGAAAGCCGCTGTCCAAGTGGGCAAACTCTTTGCGATCCAGGTGCTGATCACTCCAGGAACCTCTCCTTTCTTCACCTCAACATGGAGACATTGGTGCTGTCTGGCCATGGCCATACCATCATCAAACATTTGTCGGGGATGGTATGGACCATTGTCTAACATGTTGAGGATACCATATCAAACATGTATAACATTTGGGAGAATATATGTTATACCTCATGGATACCATAACATAGCATAACAATCCTCATGGACCATTGTGGGGGCAGCTAGCACGTGATTTCTGTACAACCGCTTCTCAACACAGGCATTCACCACCGCAGCAAATTGACGAACCAACACACAATGCGAATCCAAATGCAAACACCTGTTTATACCCGTATAATCTTGGGATTCAAACTTTCTGATGCAGCGCTTCGTCTGTTTCTTTCATGACCTGCAGCAAGCACTTTCAACCTTCCAAAAGCTATTCCTGCACGCTCGAACGCGCCTCGACGTCCAAGCCGGCAACTTCGGGTCTGCACTGCATTGCATGGTCCTATGCAGCCAAAATCTCACCAAGACGTTGCTAAGTCATGCTAAGTCATATGCACTCATTACATCTCATTACGTGCATTACATTCCATTACACATCATTACACAATCATTCGCAAGTATAAGTCATTCTAAGATGGAGGAGTGTTGGGTGGAGTCGCTCTCAGATCACTTTCTAACGGATTCCACTGAGTGCCAAACCTCTCTAAGGTTCGAGCGCACTGGAGTTGCTACACGTCTTGCCTCTGCAGTTTGTGATACGTTTCCACTTCTCCAGCAGCCACATGGAAATATTGATGAATAACGAACCATCATAATGATGCAACTTGAACATACTTCAATTCAGAGTTACCCCAGAACTGACGAGAAACCATAACATCCATGTCCATAACATTCCATAACATTCCATAACATTCCATAACCACATCATCCGTAGAACAGGCATAGTCAGACCATCCCCAGGCCTTGACCTTGACAGTCGCCGAGGACACCTGGCCTCGCACCGCCAACTTGCTTCCGTCCCTGGGAGGAGCCTCAGGGCTGGTGCCACATGTAGCAACTTGAGGCCTCGGTCTTAAGACGCCACATGACGCCACTGATGTGTTGCTGTTGGTGTCTTGGATCCAAACAATCTTCTTGATCTTTCTTACCTTCACCAAAGCTGACCAAAGCCCTCAATGAAAATGGCTGGCCATATCTGGCCATATCTGGCCATGCTTGCTGCATGACAGCCGTGCCTTCTTTCGAAGTATGCGAGAAATACGACCCATTGTGCGCCGCTCTAAGCTGCGAACCTGCGAGCTGATGGAAGTCAAACATTATGCAGTTGCACACAGAACCACTGAATTCGAGATTGAATGATGTAGTCCATTTATGTCCAAATGTCCATTCAACTGTTGCAGTACAAATCATAAATCCTGCAGCTGATAATAACTGATTGACCACTTATACCGTAACTTATACATGTTTGCAGAAATTATAACCTTTTGTATCCTTTTGTATCTTTTGTCGGGTAAACCGGCGCTCTTGCAACAAATACGTCCGTTCCCTGCCTTGACGAAGCATGTGGCAGGAAACCCAGGTATCCTGCTGCTTGGTGTCAAATCTTCGGGGGAAATCTGGGCACCAAACTTCACCAACAATAACCAACATCAAACCAATGTGGAACGACTAAAGGCAGCATTTACCATTTGGAACCAGTAGATTTTAGTTGGAACACGTTGGAACAATTTGTTGGACGTTGTTGGATCTCAACTGACCCTTTTTTAGATCCACTGGCGATCTCAACTGGGTCAAAATTCAGGCAGGAAACCACTGGCCTCACGGAATCGGCCGCTACCATCTCCTTCAGCTGGATCGTGTGGGACATGAATTGAAGTGAGATCAGCCCTGCTGGGCGTGTCGTGTCAAACATGGATTGTGCGAAATATAAACTTATATTTATATACTATATTGTTAAAGTATGACCGCTGGTCATTACTTTCAAACCTGCACCCTCCATTTGGCCTCCTTTGGCATTTGTGACATGTGGCACTGGATGTCACACAGCATCTCAAGAGTCCTCGTCCATAAGAACCATCAGTGGCGATCGTCTCGTCCACAACAGCGTGTTGCACGCTGGCACCACGATTCGATCTGGGGAGGTCAAAGTACCATCCACGGTGGATCCCAATCAGCTTGTCGTCGCTTGCCCGAGGCCTGGCAGTGATATCGACTGATACATATGATATTAAGAATATTTGAGAATGATGATACACAATGATAAATATAGGCGAATAATCACAATTGCATGATAATTATAGTGACAATGGTAATGCTCATTATGAATCATTATGCTTCATTATGATAATGACAACGATTAATATACTCATGATGCTGCTGCTGCCGCTGGTCAACCCACATCCACGCATGCCCGTGGCGCCTCCCTCAGGTTTTTGATCCACCACGTGGCGCCCACGTGCTGAGCCACACACACATTTCACATAAGGTTGTGGATTTATAGGGCTTCACATGGGCTTCACATGGGCTTTACATGAACTTTGGAAACTTCATGACACCTGCGCGACCTGCGCGAGCCTGTGCAAGCCCTGGAAAATGCGACGTGGTGCAAACCTTGCCCAAACCCCAGCGAGCCACTTTTGGATCTTTTTGGTGTTCCTTCACTGGCACTTCTTGTCTGCCCTCAGAGCTCCTGTTGCGCTTTCAGCATGGCCTGGGGGGACTGGTGTCTGTTGCAGCCACGTTGCGACAAGTTTGTGGCGGTAATTTTCACTTCTCACAGCGCCTTGCGACTTGACTGTGATCGCTGAATTCTTCCACGGTGCTCAGCAGATGCCTGGACAAAAGACCTCGGGACACAGAATCATACCAGTCTTGGAACACCATGGAACCATGGTCAATGCAGAAAAGAACAACACCATCGTGGCATTGGCATGGCAACCTGTCTCCTCAGCCCCAGGCACTGTGGGCACCTGGCCAAAATTCACAGTTTGACACAGCACATATGACAACTGCTGATGCATCAAGAGTCAAAAGTCAAACTTTGAGAAGGTAATCAACAAAAAAAAACGAAACATATCGAAAAGAGCATGTGCCAAAATTGGTTGTGGTTTCTGCAACTTTGGAGCTGGAGGTTCTTCAACCATTTTGTCTAAAAATAAAGAACACCCCATTCCACCCAGCCATAGTTTTTTCTTAAAAAAAACTTTCCACAACATGATTCGAGTTATTTTCCCAACTACTGTCCTATTTTTCCTGCACAAAATGGGGGGGTGTAACGGGTGTGACCCCACGCCCCGCCACACCTCCGACTCTAGGGCGCCATCAATGGCCGCAGCCAGCGACCCACCGCCGCGTCCCAGCTCTGGGAGTTCGTTTTCCGGCCCACGATGGTGCAGCTTGGCTGTGGCCTGACAAGCCATCAGCTTCAAGGTGGGGCTTGTATATCTTGTAATATATATATATATATATATATATATATCAATCACAGTTCTTTGACGTGCACGTGAACACATGCACTGCACTCGGCCGCTATGCAAACTTTTCATCCTCTGGAGACGTGGGTGATTGAGGATGAAGATGGGTGGATCAGCCCATCAGATCAATGCTGGGGGATCGACCCCAAATGGATAAAAATAACAACATCACAAATGCAAACAAGGAGTGGATCAACTCCTTCGGCACAGATAAATAAAACCTCACCACAGAATGATCTCTGTCTGACCCATCACAAGTGCAAACGAGGAGTGAATCAACTCCGTCAGCACAAATAAATAAAACTTCATCGCAGAATGATCTCTATCTTGCCCGAGGTGATCACCTTGGGTGAAAAATAATAGCAAAAATGAACTATGCTCAGAGGAAATCAGATCGACGTTTTCAGAGCAGGGCACTGCGAGGCAGTGAAAAAGGAACGATCTCAGGAGGCACCTCCGACCCTCACAATGGTAAATAATAAACCATCATGGGGCTAGAGGTGGGCGGGACAATTCCCAAAAGAGATCGCTGATCAGATCTTGAGCCAAAATGGCACCAAGATCTGATCAGTGCCACTGACTCAAACGGGGTTGATCAACCCCACGCTCTGTGATCACAATAAATGAATTCTCAAAAATCTCTTCACTGAACCCGATCGGGTAAATAAAAATAAAATAAGATCAAACGCAACCAGTGCCACGAACTGTAACATTGATCCACTTATCCCTCACCAACCAACCGTAGATAAGTGACCCAATCACAGTTCTTTGACGTGCACGTGAACACATGCACTGCACTCGGCCGCTATGCAAACTTTTCATCCTCTGGAGACGTGGGTGATTGAGGATGAAGATGGGTGGATCAGCCCATCAGATCAATGCTGGGGGATCGACCCCAAATGGATAAAAATAACAACATCACAAATGCAAACAAGGAGTGGATCAACTCCTTCGGCACAGATAAATAAAACCTCACCACAGAATGATCTCTGTCTGACCCACGCCGCCTAGAGATCAGGAAAAACCGCTGGTATCGTATCCCATCCTAGAGACTGACCTATGTCTAATCTACGACGAGATGGTGGATCAGCGGGATTGGAGTCCGTTGGAACTCGATCGATGTAAAGATTAATGTGAACATCAAGAGCTAGTTTCCAGAAAACTCCTACTAATTCGCAAAGATCTTCACGGGCGGAATATCCTTTCACTAACGCGCCTTGAACAGGTTCAGAGTCCACAAAGAGCAGGGACCAAGAGCTGGAGATCCAAGGCTTGAAAGTCTGGAGCGCCACGACTGTAGCGAAGAGTTCGACCATGGCGATCTGTGACTTCCGCGGGATCCACTTCTCGATCAAGTCCATGCCCACTTTGCATCCGAACTGGATCGGTCTAGCGCCTTTCTTGAACAACACGCCGCCAATCCAAGGATCTTGCAAGTCGCTCTTCTGATCAGGGAAGCTGCCATCCGTGAAGATGACGTAATCAGCAGGTCGAGCGCCCGATGCAGTAATAGGCCGCGGAGGACCATGATCAATCAGCAGCTCCCACTGTTTCAGCGCGAGCTTGAGCGCAAGGTTGAGACCAGTCTCGGGAGATCTCGTGTACTGCCTCTCCGAGAGAGCTCTCAGAAAGGCCCTACCAATCTTCCCCCACAACTGTGAAGCGCCAAACATGAGCTTGCCGCGCAACTTGCCTGCTTGACCAGGCGACAAGACTTGATCTCGTCCAGCAGCTCCTCCTTTCTCGAAGATTTGATCTTCAGGCACATAGCTTTCAAATCGTAGGTCACCCCTAAGATCGCGGGGTCCTCGCAGAGCTGGAGCTTCTTGGGGTCGAATTTGGCACCTAGCCACCAGTGGACCTTCTGAGCAATCTCGAAGGCTGAAGAGCAGGTGACTTCGGTTTCGAACTCGTACTTATCATCGTAGAAGTTGAAAGCCGCCACGAAAAAGACCCTACGAAGTATATCTGTAATAGCCGCAGATCTACGATTGTAATTGTAGACCGCCGCTACCAATCCAAAAGAATGACCAATCATGACGAAAAATGAGACCTTCCCTGTGTCAGGTTCGCGAAGCGAGATCACGCTCCATCTCCGGTGATCAGGGTGGATAGGAATCTGGCGATAAGCTTTCCTTTCGTCCAGAACCCACCCTTGCAGTTTAGTGGAGCTAGAGCACGATGACCTCATCCACCTCAAAGCAGACACGTTCGCGTCCGTAGATGGCAGCTCAATCTTTTCCAGGATCCTGGAAGCCATGTTGATGCCATTGATCGTGGCACTGTCCACACCTCTGACCTTGTTCTTCTGCACCACTTCGAACCGCTGTGGGTCGGGATCCAATCTTCAGTGCCGAGGAACTTGTCGACCTCGTCTTTTGAGAAGAAAGGACCTGCAGTGACTCCTTCACGGACATCTTCCATAGTTGCCTCCCAGATCTTGGAGGTGTTCTCCGTCACTTCTGATCTTTTTACGTTCTTCAAGACCTTGTTGGAAAACTCCCAGGCCCGCGAAACAAGATCTTGTTCCGGCAGAGCATCATCAGGCAGCGGTAATTGCGGCCAACGAAATGAGCGCTTGATGTCGCCGACAATGGAGAAGCCATTGATCATCTCGTCCACCAGTGAGCTGTCAATACAGCGGCTAGCAGCGAGCAGCTCCCGCCACAATGCGACATGTGTGACCGTGCCGATCTGAACAGGTTGGTCATCAGGTGCTCCGCGCAGCAGCGACCGCAGGTAGGGATCATGGATGGCACGGAGCTCCTGGTCCGTGAGCGGCAAAAGACGCTCAGCCCGATCAGCCCAAAACTGTAAAGCCCCTTGCCGATGACCAAGCAGTTGGTGAGGCTTATGCACAGCGAACGCCAGAGCTTCTTGAAGATCGGGATCAAGCGCTGGATCCAAAGTAAAAGGATGTGGAACTTGTAAAGCTCGTTGAACAGCTTGTCCAGGTTCCATCTCGACCTGCAAAAGTGGCGGCAAAGCCGAGCGCTTGAGCTGGTATCCTGCATCACGAGCTTTCTCTGCTGTCGCACGTTGTTTATGTACGACCCATGGCAAAGGTTGGCCGAGCGGCCGTTTCCGTTCATGAGCTGGCACGGCCATCTGAAACGTGGCAGCCAGTGGATCCGCCTGCAGACATGCGATCACCTTCGCCCATGCTTGGCAGAGAAGCGGCGGATAGACCTGAGCCAACTTGGTTTTGAAAATCTTCTTGCCCTTAGACAAAACCATGCCCACCAAGGGTTCGTGAACATGAGGCCGCACATCCAGATCACAGGCGAGCGCCAGCGCACTAAGGTCGCAATCAGACAGGAGCGCTGTAGGCTTCTTGTGTTTAGATTGGAACCTGCACATGTCCAAAATGAACCGACCCACTCCAGCGCGAGCAGCCAGGGCGCGAACTGGTGGCATGTCCCACAAAAAGGATGATGCCGGGTTCTCCAGCGCCCAATGGACGCCGAACTGGCAACATAAAACCAAGAGCTCTACTGTGAGTTCCATGAACTGGTTGCCCAACTCGACTCTTGCTTGATCCTGTCGAGATAGTTTTGGGCGTCCCCACAGGTTGTGTCGATCACGCAACGGTGGTGGGCCGCCATCATCTTTGCGAGCTTGGCTAAATGAGGAGCAGGGTGTGCCAAAATGAATAAAGAAAATGCACCCCGCGCGAATTAACTTGCACAAATGTTGAAAAACCTTGGGATCCAAAATATCCACCTCTTCGACGACAAATTCGTTGGCCAAGATCTCAATAGGGGGCAGGGTCTTAATACCACGAGCAATGATGGCTTGTGTCAGCCCTGCCTCTCCTGCAAAGATCTCTACGAAAAACTGTGTGCCAGATGGCACAAAACCAGAGCCCCAAAATGGTGAAGGAAAAACATTCGAGCAGTGATTGCTGTCAACCGTCTTTACCTCATCCAATGGAGCCATTGGTTGATCACCCATTCAGTGATTGCCCACCATGGAGTGAGCGGAGCCGCAGACCATGCACTGATGCTTGAACCTGCACTTGTCGCCCAGAGAGCATCCCATGGTGGAGTTGAAATAATGACATCTCTTTGGGCCAGACACGGAGCTGGCGGCTTGCACGATCGCTTTCCACTCTGTGTCTGGGATCCGCTTGTCCTTGCTGACCTTCTCATCTCTTGCTGAGGCTGACTTTTTGTCAGCTGGATCCTTCTTGACTTTAGACTCCTTGGCTTCACGGAGGAGCGCCTTGTTGCGGAGCCGCTGGCGCTTCTTTCTATCTTTGTTGGGAGAGCTCTTGGGCGCCGCTTCGACGACCTTGTCTTGTGAATCGCCAGTCTCGCTGGCATCCTCTCTGCGCCGATCGACTTTGGAAAGAACTGCCTTTGTTCGGGCGTCGTTCCAAAGGTACTTGTGGTTGTTCAGGACCTCGATGATGGCGTCCTCGAACGTACCATAAAGTTGGCGCTGCTCAGCCTGCAACCTGTTGACCTTCTTCCTGATCAAGGAGTCAGCAGCCAAAAGGTAAGGCAGGCCCGGACATTCCGAGCGAAATTGCTCGAGCTCCTGCAGGTAGCGCAATGGGCCAGCCGCACGAGAGTATGTGCAAATGTTGAGATATTCCAAGGCCATGAAAAAGGCATGGATCCTGTTCATCATAGTCACAGAGTCGGTGACCTGATCAGGTTCATCCGCCTTGGATATCGTCAAAAGATCCTCTGCGTTCTTGGAGAGCCCAGACTTCTGCACTATGCTGTCTGAACGTGTCCGGATCTCGGCCACAGAGTAATACGGCACCATGCCGTGAACCAAGAAATCGCGGCTGAGCTTCTCCACGAACTTCTTGTGAGGCTCTTTAGCATCCAGCAAAATGACATCTGGATGGGCTTGAACAAAGCGCGCCCGAAACTCAGCGTGATCTTCTTGCGCCATCTCTGGAACCTTGTTGGGGTCCTCTTCCATGCGCGCACGCCGAGTGGCGAACTGCCCTTGTAGAGCGTGGCATGCATGCCATACTGCTGCGAGCTGCATCAATGCGAGCTCTCTGGCAGCATCTGTCGTGCCAAGATCTGCCTCGGCAATCATAGTCCTGAGCGAGGTTTTCACTGCCTGTGCAGTGTCTCCCAGCATTGCAAAGATCTCCGCAGAGAGCAGCCCCCCGTCTGCTGCCGAACGGCACAGGGCCTGTGGCAGGCCCATGCGTCCAAAGATCTGCCTAAGCGCGATCTTGGGCGTGTGAGCATCATCGGCGTAGACGGTTCGATCGACCATATTGGGCACTTGAACCCCTGACAAAAGGTGGATCCCTCGGCAGAGCACATGGTACAGGCGTGATCAACCCGACTGTGTGCAAAGTGCCAAAGAACCCCGGACCGATCGACTACAGCTAAAATGAACAACAGGGAAAAATAATCAAAATTAGATCAAACAGGTTATAAAATAAGGAAACATCACGGCAGATCCAACTGAAAAACGATCGCGCAGGGCAGCACATAGATCAATAGCTGTCTTCTGGCTGTTTTACCGCCTGCGACCTATATCAAATCTGAGCCTTGCTACGGCACAACTGGCAGATCATGATCATGCCAGGCGCATGGCTACCGGCTGAGACGGCATCACGCATCTTCAGTCTGCCACAAATGGAACTATCTTCAGATTCCCTACGATCAAAAATGTGGCACCTAAAGTCAGCTGATACCAGAGCTTTCTCTGGCAAAGTCGCCTTGACGATGAACTCAGTCACGATCGGCTCCGTGACCTCCTCGTCTTCTTCAATGACGAACTTCTCAGGATCTGGGAGCCATGCGTCTTTGAGCTTGCTCGCCATCTGCTTGACCATGGCCACTGAGAGCTCCTTGCGCTGCCGGGCGTACTTCAGGACCAATTGGCTCGGATCCTTAATTGGCCTGCAAGCCGACGATCTTGTCGTCGACATTCGCTTTCACCGCCTCCGACAGCATGGTGACTCTCATAGAGTGCCAAGTGATCACCTGGATGCTTCCTTCCAGCTGATCAACTTCATTGGCCGCCACATAGCCGAGCTTGGTTGCTTCTGCAAGGCCCAGGAGCATAAAGTGCTTGAGCCAGGCCAATCCTCTCGAGTATGAGATAGGAGCTGCTGAGAACTCTTTCTCATTCTTGATCTCCCAAATAAAATAATCCCTCTCAGAGATGAACGGCTGGAAGATCTTCCACCCTTCTTCGAGCCAGGCATGGTCCGACATAGAACATGCGGGCACTGCGAATCTTGTGCCTCGCTTCTTCCTTTCGACCTTGGTCTGCCATACCACGCCCAGGAGAGCGTCCTGGTTCATCTGCAGTGATAGCGGGGCTACGTGGATCCCGTCGTCGAACCTGAGCGACGCATAGATAAGGATGAGCACCCACCACACGAAGATCGCAGCTGCATCCTTCTTCTCCTTGATGAGCCTCATGCAAAGGAGCTCAAGGGCAAAAACCATCTTCGGCGGCACAGGGACCGCCTCTTTGAGCTCCTTGCCCCGCAGGTTGTAGACCTCGTCGATGATGGCCTTGAGCTGCGGATCTGCCATGTTCGGGGTCTGCATGACGAGCCTCTTGCATATCCGCCCCAGTGCGTACTTGAACGCGGGCAAGATGGAGGGACCGCACCCTTGATCGCGTAAGTGCAGTGCATAGCTCATGACTGCGACGATCGTGGGCGGGTACACACGCAGTCCGTGGCCGATCGACCACTCTTCAAACTTCTCCCAATATCGAACATTCTGCCTGATGGTGCGGAACCCGCCTGCCTCAAATGCCAAGCTCTTGAGGCGAGCTGCCTCAGCCGGCAACAGGCCAGCGCACCGCTTTGCATCGTTGAGCCCAGAGGCCGCTCCTGCGCGCTCGCAGATATTTTGGAGCCTGAGCCCCCACTTCTTCCTTTCGGAAGCTTCGACCACCTGGATAGATGGGACCGCCTCGATCGGTCCCTGACCCGAAGGTCTGGCTCCGACTGCCGGAGGAGCTGGCGTAGGAAGCGGGCTGACCACGGGCTTACGCTTAGCACCGATCGACGCCGGCTCAGCGTACCCATAGCCCAAGTCTACCGCTATCTCACGGCGGATCTTCTCCGTCGATCTGGACACCATAGAGGCCAGGACGTTGACCATATCCAGCCGACTAAGGATCTGATCCATCACCTCTTGTTTTTGGGTCAGAGCAGACAGGATTAGGCACAGCTTATGATCCGCTGTATCCCCATCCCCTTCATCTGCAAGAGACAGCCATAGCTCTATACGATCTAAGTTGAGCTCAGCTAAAACCGACCTAAAAACATCATCAAAGAGGGGTAAACAGAGAAACCGGTGGATCGACCGATCCATCTTGAGCAACTGAGGCCCCGGGAGCGATCGCCCACAGCCCGTGCATGATCAGCACTGGGGATCCAACCTACAGTGCCGGTCGATGGGAGGATCTACCCCAAACGACCAACCCGCTGGCTGTTGGCAGAGGATCTCATCGGGACTACCTGGGGATATGATCAATCCCAATAGTGAATCCCGAAAAGTAACCTAATGAACCAACAGGAACAACATCCACCAGGGCAAATGAACAGCCCTAAGAGATAAACTGAAATCACATGAACTACCATCATCAAGATCATCAGCAAGAGGATACGATCAATCCAATAAAAAGGACCCTCGTGCGATCAACATAAAAACTTATGGTCATGGGATATGATCAATCCCTAGACTGAAAACGAAATCAAATAGACCCTCGACCCTGGATGAACCTAGCCCCCAAACTTAAACCCTGATCAGGAGAATCAGCCTAATCTGGGCCTAAGTTAACAGGGGATAACATGAGGTTAATCCAGGACTAAATGGGGGGAACCAAACAGCTGAACAGCCTACATCAACGAATCCTGGAACCCCTACCCTGGATGATCACCAGCCGGCTGAGGCTTAGGGAACATGTGGTGAACAACAAAGGTCATGATCAAACCCTTGAAGTTTATAAAATATATGACTGCGACTATAAGATCAATGTGCTAACCACGAACAAAGGTTGAACCACACGTGAACATGGGCGATCACCACCATCACGTTCCAACAAACGTGCTGACCTGTTCATGCGCACTGCATTGATCTTTTTGCCGCGACTTCGATTTAAATATGCCCGTCGTGCGGGGTGCGATCTGACCTTCTGCAGATCTGCATGAAAAATATGGAAAAATAAATAAAAAGATCTGACCTACTCCACGACGATCTCCTCCTTGTCATCCTTGGCAGCCAGACCCGGCGGGCCAAAAGACTGAGGAGCTGTGGCTGGTGTCGATTGCCCACCTCCCTCGTTGGATCCAACTGCAGGAGTGCTGTGAGGAACTTGGCTGAGGACAGGACGATCTGCCACCACTTCTTCCTTCACAGCTCCCTCGACCCAGAACGACAAGTCAGCTGGTGGAGTGGGAGGATCTGCGTCAATCTCCTCGATCGTCGCAGTCGATGCATTGTACGATCGCCTGGAGATCTCCTCATAGAACAACTGGGGCGTGAGCTGAGCTGTGGATCTTGCAAACCTGCGATCGCAACGGGCGCGATCTCGTTCGTCGTCCACAACGTGACCACGTTTCCCCTCTTGAGGATGCTTGGTCGCAAAGGATCTTGAGTTGAGCTCGTAGTTGGCTTGCTGCCGAACTGGCACCATCTCTTCCGATCCTCTTGCAGCACTGGACCTGTTGGCGACCTCCTCGGCTGAGCTCAACCATGCCTCCCCTGTCAAAGAGGGGGGACCTGTGGGAGCTACCTCTGGATCTCTCACCAACAGCTTCGACCGAGCCTGCACGTGGAAGTTGCCCTCCTCCATGCCGGGGATGAACACCACCATGCTGCCCACCTGATCTTCGCTGTTGGCGATCGACGATTCCCACCAAGTCTGATGAATGGCGGCGAGCTGCGCGAACTGCTCGGTCTGCTCGGGACCTTAATTCCACTCGAGCTCGATTCTCCCTCACCGACTGGATGGTCTTGATCAGAGTCGGTCCGGAGATATGTGACACGGTGAGCCATGTCCCCGGGACCGAAGTTCTGGAGCACTTCAGGTCTATCCTGTTGTTGGAGTCCCTGAACCGGAACTCCACGCGATCAGCGTCATTGCCAACTGCGTCTGCTGTAGACCTTGAACAACACCGAAACTCAAACCGCGATCGGGCAGAGTCGCCTGCGACCACGGAGCCACGGGGTCCCACCGAGTAAGTGCGACCACCGCACTCAAAACTCAGAATTGACACCCTGTAGCCGATGAACACGGCGATCACCACCGAGAGCCTCAGCTTGCCCTGCTTCACTTCTCTGATCAGGTACTCGTCAACGAACTGTTGTTGAACTGTCAGATCTGTGTCCGATCTGAAGCCCCTGAAGATCCAGTGGAACAGGATTTCATTCCCGTTGTAGATCTTCAAGTCTGTGTAGCTGGCCGAGGTGTCCCTGAGCATAGGCCACGTGAAAGGCTGAAAAGCCTGGTGTGACAGAGCTGACGCTGTCTCCCCATCCCATCCAGCGCACGTGGTGCCAGTCTCACTCTCGAGCGAGAGCGCCAAAACCACCTTGATCCCGTCCAGCGTATAGTTGGCAAAAAGAGCCACTGAAAAACTTGAACTAGGCGGCATCACTTGGTCTCTCTCCGTGAGCACATTGATGGAGCTGGCAGCGTTTGCCATGATCTCTGAAACAAGCCAAGCCTGAAAAGGCGACACCATCCTGTCATTGCGGTTGTCAACGACCACGATCGAGGTGTCTTCAGGGAACTTCTGGCCTTCATAGATCGGCACAAGGAACCTCGGCATCTTGACCTCGTAGGGATTGTGGGCGCTGTTGGTAGATCTACCGTAACTTCGGCCCCACTGATCGTCTTGTGAGCCCCATCCACCGTCAGAGCCGCGAGCGCCACGATAGCTCGGCATGGCAAAAGAGCCGGTAGAAGGGTTGACCACCCAGGCCCACAATTCCCAAAAGAGATCGCTGATCAGATCTTGAGCCAAAATGGCACCAAGATCTGATCAGTGCCACTGACTCAAACGGGGTTGATCAACCCCACGCTCTGTGATCACAATAAATGAATTCTCAAAAATCTCTTCACTGAACCCGATCGGGTAAATAAAAATAAAATAAGATCAAACGCAACCAGTGCCACGAACTGTAACATTGATCCACTTATCCCTCACCAACCAACCGTAGATAAGTGACCATGTATATATATATATATGTATACTTACATGAACATATGTATTTATATATATATACATTTATAATCATATATATGTATGTCTGTATGTCTGTATGTCTGTATGTCTGTATGTCTGTATGTCTGTATGTCTGTATGTATGTATGTATGTATGTATGTATATATATATATATGGGGATGGCTCAAAAACGGGTATGGATCGTTCCGCGGTGATCCGGACGTATGGAACGAGGAGTTGTCAGCAAGCGTTTTGATCCGGACCTTATCATAGGGGCTTCAATGGATATGAATATAGATATAATATCATTGAGATATAAATAAATAAAAATAAATATATACATATATAACAGAAAGACATATGTACATATCTATATAATAATTTCATCAGAGGCATGGCTACAACATAGACAGGATGTGGGATATATCTGATATGTTGAATACACTTGAATATCAACAAATGGTGATGATGGGGGATGGGTCCTACATGGCATGATTCGGATATGGAACGGATATGGAACGGGTATGGATCGGGGTATGGAACAAAATGGACCTGAATTTCCAACATTTCTGGCTGATTGTTTTGGTGGTAAATTCAAAAACTACCGGGTTCTTCAAAAAAAACAGCCATCCACAGGAAACCACAGAGATACCCTGCTTACCCCCGCAACCCCCAACTTCAATGTTGTGATCGGAAGTGCCGAGCATCATCAACAGAAATGGCTGGTTTTTTTGAAGGCCGCCAAACACAAACTTCAGAAGACAACATTGAATTGGGGGACGGGGGGGGCATGACCTCTGTGGTGTGGTACTTCATGGGATGGCTGTTTTTTTTGAAGAACCCGGACTCAGAAAAGACACAATAGGATGGACCCATGGCTGCAGACAAACGCGAGAATGATGACGACACTGTGTCAGGGAAAGCATCGGGATCAGTTTGGGCGGGTGTTTGTGTGTGGGTGTGTCTGTTTGCTTGCGCGGGCGCATATGTGCTAATATGGGTTGTGCTAAGTGAAATACATGCAGCGACAGTCTTGACACCTTTTTTTGACCTGATTCCGCAATGTCGTGGGGTGCACTGGCTGTCGTTCTGCGTGGCAGGCGCGCCACTTTGAGAGCGTGACTGCTCTATCCTGCACACCTGCCATGCAACGCACATGCAACACACATGCAACACACATGCAACACACATGCAACACGACATGCAACATGAGCTTTTTACCTGTAAATTTACAGTCAACGTGCAAGATTTGACGTTTGCAGCCCCAACTCCGGTCTTAGAATGGAAAGTGTAGATTTTTGCCCCCGCGGCCACTCTGCTTGGAAATTTACAGGGAAAATGCTCGTGTTGCATGTGTGTTGCATGTGTGTTGCATGAGTGTTGCATGTGTGTTGCATGTGCGTTGCATTGGCAGGCCCATACAAATCACACCCGTGAAGTGGGGAAGTAGAAAACAGCGTGGCAGGCGCAAGAGTTGTAGGTGGCAGGGCGAGATTTTGGAAGCTGAGCGCCTTGGATATTACATTGTGGTGGTGCCCCGTAGCATCCACCTTTGTGGGGTTGTCGCATATTATATAGAATAAGCTTTGACAACCATCTTGGGCAACTTTCACAAGCTGATGGTTAGCCCTTAGCATCCACCTTTATTGGGCTGTCACAGATTACAGAAGCGCATGCTTTGACAATGCGTAAATTTCAGAAGCTGATGTTGTCGCATCGATGTGTGTATGTGTGCTGATCTACATCCACATGCATATCAACAACAGTTAAAATGAACTCGGAACCCAAAAAAACCTCACCGACTCAGAAAAGACACAATAGGATGGACCCATGGCTGCAGACAAACGCGAGAATGATGACGCCACTGTGTCAGAGAAAGCATCGGGATCAGTTTGGGCGGGTGTTTGTGTGTGGGTGTGTCTGTTTGCTTGCGCGGGCGCATATGTGCTAATATGG